TTTCAGTCGGCTTCTCATAGTTGATAGACGAAATATTTATTGATAGACGAAATATTTAATTCAAATTTTAAGTAAAGCTATTTTAAAACTGAATTTACGATTAATTAATTGCATGTCATTTAGTTCAGCGACCAATATTTCATACTTATTATGTAAAAATAAGGGAATGTGGTATAACTGCCAATGAGACAACAATCAACCAAAGTTGAAAAGAAGTGGATGTCAGCAATATTGCAGGCAACCGTACGGCCTTCAACGATGAGAAAAACAATACCACTAGTCGCCTATAGAAGGCCCCGAAATGAAAAATGTGAAATGATTCAATTGAGAAAATTAATGACCTAATTCATAATACTATATAAGGTCTTATTAAATAAAGACTAGGCTGTAGTGAAAAACCTCATCTCTAATACTATATTTGGCTTATTCATACTCGTGTACAAGTATAACACATAAGTATTTAATCATTTATTGAAAAAAAATGAAGGTTACTGAATTTTAACCTTTAAAGAGATGTTACGGGTTCTGTATTTCTATTTCCAATAGGATTTCAAGGAGATGGTATTGCTTGATCATAAACAGGGATCATTCATCAACATTTAGCATCAGCTTGGTTATATTTCATATAAACCCTTTACAGATCTTTTTTTTTACATAAAGGTTCATGACATTATTTTGGTATTTTTAGCCATGCATGCACCATCTGTATCCAGCTTGAAATTTTAAAGCCTGAGGGACCAGTATTTTTTATTTGAAATCTGACTTTTCCGGATTTAACAGAAGCTAGGGATTTGAATTTCACTAAACAGATACCACAGACCTGGTCATGAAATATTCATAAATAAATTATAGAGAATAAACTGATGAAACAATATGTTCTCCGAGTGTTCGAAATTCATTTTTGTGATTTAACTTAAAAGGATCTTGTCGATAATAGTATTCTCTATTTCTCTGTGCGATGATTCACATTAAAAAATACAAAATGAACACCCAATGTCTTTGCATTCGTTAGAAGAGAACACGAAAAGATATATAAGAGGAGACACCCTCTACTGGCACATTTTTTTTTACACAAAACCAGCAGCGGTTAATACGGCCTCTAAAATCTGGAACTATTTTTAACCTTTTGATTCGGTTAAAGATGTGAAATATACTATTTAGAAATAATATATGTTGTTTTGCAGGTGAAGAATACAAGGAGTATGGGTACTAAAATTGTTTTCGATAATAGTTACGGGCAATACTTTCTTTCATACTGTTTTTCATTTGCTGTATGTTTTTGAAATTGAGGTTGTTCTACAGAAATTTACACAAAAGGAATCTCGTCACCTTCAATACCCCATCTCCAAGATAAAAAAAAAGTGGTATAGGCCTACATCAAAAGACATAATAAATTAAAAAAAATCATGACAAACAGAGGTTGCCAAACATTCAATACGCAATCACATCTATATAACTTCATATATTAAATAGTCCCGTGTCGAGACAAGTTAAGATAAATTTAAGCCCGTCTTCTGAATGTATCCCTAAACATTAAATGCAAGAAAAAAATGTTCTTACATGTAATATAAAAAAAGACTACTGCTCACATGGTTTATGTATAGAGACAGCACAGGACAATGTTGCGAGGTTAAAATATCACGACATTACTCGCCTCCTTTTTTATCGGTAATTGTTAAATCAAATGTTACTTATAGAAAAATAAAAGTTCTTGAACATGGGGAAAACGATTATAACTGACCCTTCATTACCCTTTTAGAAGAAATTATGTACAAACCCTTTTTATACAGTGGCCGAGAAGTATTTTTCACGAACAACTTTAGGCTATATATTACAGTTTTTAAATATAAATTTTATAAAGTTATTTCTAATTGGATTTCAATCAACCAATAGAAAAAAATTATCACAAATCTATTTGTTTATAAGTTATATTCATCCTTGGACAATTATCTTTTACTGGTGATATAAACAATAATTTTTTATCCCGAAGTTTGCCATATATTTTACCCAAATTAATTTGCAAAATATTATTATAAATGTTCACATCAGTAGAAAACAAAAACAATCGAAGATAAAATTATGACCAAATAAACAAATATACTGACTACCGACAATTCTGTGTCTTTCAACTCATGGTTTGGTAAAATCCGCCCATAAATACCATAAAATATCTTTTTAAAAACTGTTATGATATGAAAATATATAGCCAAAATTGTAGGTGGCAAATACGTATTGCATAATACTTTACAATATTCCCTTGCAATTAAAAAAATAGCTTTTAATAATTGGTCTTGCGTTTTGGAGAATTATATCAGTCGAAATTTTAAATGGGTAAAGTAATTTACACGTAAATTGCACAAATTCAACAGTATTTTCAAAAATTTATCAGCTAACTCTACATTCATGAATCTCCTTGGTCCATCAAGAAGCAAATTTGTATAGAAAGATTTTAATCGGTCAATATAGCATTATCAAAATGATCTCCTGGTCACCGCCATTGTGAATGCCGTTCGCGTAGAAAAAACAACTATATAAATCAATAATTCTTATATGGTTTGCATGTTAGAGAATACGTTAATATGATTGGTCGAGAGGGCTTCCGGTAGTGGATCTTGACGTTGTTTATTTTTCGATAGACGACGTTGACCGAACTACTTTTTGTAACCAATGTAAACAAGATGCACATCCGGTTGTCCTACTGATGGCGGCGATAATTACACAATCCGGCTCGACGTTAAAAATATTTATGTTCACTTCGCGCTAATCGTTGAATTAAATAATAAACACAAAAAAATTCATTTGAATGATAACAAGTTATTTTTGTAGTTTATTTTTTTATCAGATAGCAAATTTCACGGAGTACATATTTTTGCGTTAACCAACACATATATTCATGCACCAGGCCAATTCAATAACACAAATATACAATATACGTGTGATAGAGGTTACGAATGTGGAAAAATCAATTCTTTATCTCCATTTTTAAGAATTATAAGGATTAAACGCCTTTTTAAAAGAATTTATTGGTGTATAAACTGGTCAAGTCACTCACAAACATATCATAAAAGGCGTTTAATCCTATAATATGAGAAAAAAATACGTCAAAAAGACGACGTCAAAAGAATTTGGTACTGGCGACGTCAAATTGTCATTGCCTATTGGGGTATTGGCAACGTCGAAACGTTGATTTTTTTAAATGTGGCATCAAGAGGGTTAAGGTCGATTTCGTCTACCCAGAGACATATATACGTATAGATTATTACATGGCATTTTTCATATCAGACCCTTTATCGGCCCTAGGTCATGATATCAGCCCAAGAGCAGCAGCAGAAATACAGACAAGAACTATTAATTAAAATTTTGTCTTTCTATGAATTTTTAGATAATAATTTACAGACAACCAAATACAAATTTCTTAACTTTAATTGTTTTTATTGATATTAGAGGGGCCTCATGGGGGGGGGGGGGGGGGGGGAGGGGGTCTCATCACGATTCACGAGTTGAGTTTTTTGTCAATCACGATTCACAGAAAATAAATTTCAATGATCACGGATCACGAAAATATAAAAAAAAAAATCTGTAGAAAAAAGGATCACGATAGCGAAAATGCGCCGATCACGAAGAATCAAAATAACCCATCAGGCCCCTCATATTACAAGCATTTTATTTATCTTGTCACAACAATTATCATGTTCTTAGTTTGAAATTTGCTCCTCAACCATTTTGTGAAAAGTCTTAAATCACTTGCGGTTTTCCGCACTGTGTTGTCGTTTTCGAACAAATTTCCGGAAATGCACGTAGTTGCATGTGATAAACGTCACGGAAATTAACGGAAAGGCATGTGATAACATTCCGGAAGCAGTCTATAAAGGTTCCTTTATCAGCCCGCTGAGGAAATTCTTAGGAATCTGGTCAATAAACCTAGTAATCCTTTCATAGCCTTTTAATATTTTTAAATGTTATTGAACAGTAAAATTTTGGTAATATTTTATACAAGTATATGATGAATATGTTTATCACATATTTGTTACGAATACGTTGGGCCACGGTTTTCCATATGTAATAACCTCAAAATTGTCCGGGGCAAAAAAGAGGTTATTGGTTATTGTGCCCTGATTCCAAATGACGTGACGTCATTGTGTCCTTAACGACAATGGCAAACAATGACGGTGCTCGTTTCATCGCAGTGGAGGAAAGCGATACGACAGACTTTGTAGAGCAAATGAAAAACGCTAACACAAGGAAAACAACTGAAAGTGACATTAAAATTCTAAAGGAGTGGTTAAAAAGTGCCGGAGAATTACGCAATTGTGTATTGCCATATTCCAAAATAAGTGGAAATGTGACAATAAATTTCTCTGTGGAGTAAATGATAAAAACTAAATTTGAAAATGTGATAAAACTTTTGTGATAAATTTTTAAAGATTTTACCTGTTATATTTCATTAAATTGTTATAATTGAACTTTTTTCTCTTTTCTGCAGAACTAAAATATGTGATAAATAGATTATAACATGTCTTTTCCACAAAGCCTCGAGGCCGATATGGGAGTCTCGAGATGATACCAGGGCCAATATGGAAAAGGGCATGTTATAATCTACACGTATATACACATGTGTATATATGTCTCTGGTCTACCTCACAAAATCTTGTTATGCACTACAAGGACGTATATTAGATGTTAGATATAAGCCCTTGGTCATTACTACGAAATATGAGCGGATGGAATATTTCAAGGTCTGAAAGCCTCAGTTTATAAAAAGAGGATATGATATCTGAAATTTCACTTTTCAACTACCAGCCAGTCGCAATATATATTGATGATCTAGCACTCTGTTTTATTCATAAATATCTCTTCAACGTGTCCTTGCGGGGTTACTTCGGGTAAAGTTAAAATAAAAATGTCCTTTCCAGTGTAATTTCATTTATTCTCCCCTTTTCGAAATCGTAATTAAATCGTATCCTTTCAGTCGAAGAATTATAATTTCATCACTACCAGAGGTCAGAGGTCACAGGGTCATTATTTGTGTCGATAAACACAACGGAATTTGTTACACTGTCATGACTGTGAAAAAGGTAAATTTAATTCAATTCATATTCAATTAATAATTTAATTTAAAGTCGATATTCATTAAAAAACCATAAGCTTTACTGAGCTTTTCAAATCGACCGAATAACAAAATATAAATACACATACAAAAGTTGTGAAAACAACTCCATGATTATTTTCATTTTCCTCGTCAGCTTGTTCAATGCAATGCAAATTTAAATTACAAGGTATAATGTTTTTGGGATTAATACATGAATTTATTTATTGGCCCCAGTATTCCTACCTGGGTCATAAAACACTTGGTTGTCCATAATCCTCTTCCAAGGTCTTACACGATTAATACAAAATCTTCATTTTTGCCAGCTTGTGACAGTTTGTCACATAGACATGAAGATTTGTACATAGGTCAACCTACATAGAATATACCCTAGTTATATATGTATATGGGACACACTCACAGAGTGACTCTTCTGGTCTCCACTGGATGTTAAGCAAACAACAAACAATCCAATAATTTCTTCTGGTCTCTGCAAATTTAGCTTTACTTTGGGTCAAATATTGGTGTTGGTGAAGAATGTCCTTATTCACTTTTGGATATTTATATCTCACGTATATACTCAAAAGGAGAAGGTCCGGTAAGGGTTAATTTTGGCCTAAAATTTGAAGTGCATTTGTGAAAGATTTTTGACATTTTTTAAACACCTAAATGTAAGAGTCTACTTCAGTCGATTCAATTAGTTTTTTGGAACAGGTTTGAACTGATTTGGTCATTAAAGACGCTGAAATTCAAGCTTAAATATGAAAAATCTATCAAATATGCCATAAAACGTCACTTTTCAGATGGTTTTTGTCTAAAATGAAAGTGGCCGCATTCGTGTTCAGTCTCAACCTTTATATATGTTATGTAATATCATCAAATACAACATATATTTAAATATGACTGAACACTTCAATTTTAGACAAAAACCGTATAAAAATTAGCACAAATGTTAAAATTGTGAAGATTTCAGTAATTTTGCATGAATTAATGATGCTAGTACCTGATGCATGTGCATTGTATTGTCAAAAACAGCCAATATTTATGTAGCAAAAGTATTCTGCTTTCCAATGAATAGCTAAAAGTTTACATTTTAACAAATTTGTAAAAATGCTATATTTTGTGGCCAAAAGGGGGTCTTGCTGGGCCTACTCCTTTGCCAAAATATATCAAAATTGCATTTCAGAGCTATCGTTCAGCACTTCTGATTTGGTAGCATGTTAATGAAATTGATTTGTCAAAATATTGCTTAATCCTTCAAGTACACACATGAAACTGTGTTACTATTACTGAAGGTTGAAGAACTTTTATAAGTCTTAGGAGTAAAATGGTTGATATTATACTAAGGAGAAGACATATTTAACAATGGGATAGAAAGTAGAAAATGTACCAAGTAGTACTCACTGACAGCCAGTATAGTCTCCAGTGAACAATGTATAATTTTAATTCGAAACTATTGCATTGGTGATGACATGTATCTCAATGATTAGTTTAATAATAAAAGGTGCAAACAACTATTTGCTGGAAAGAATTGATATCATAAGTTTAGAGTAAAATTACTTTGCTTTTGATATACTTAAAGTAGACAGTTTCTATGAGATTGATTACCAGTAATGTCATGCATATTCAGGATAACACTCATTGGCCATTAACAAATATGTGCTAGAGGGAAGAAGTAAAGGAAACTACTTTGAAATGCCAGGTACAATTGAGAGATAAGGGTCCTGTTTTTTGAAGAAACAAGTAAAATTCCAGCTAAATCTTTAAGTATGAGTACTTATCCTATCTATGGTTGTGGTCACTTGCTTTGTAGTTTTTGGAGATCTATATTGGTCCCAGGCTAAAAAATGTACAAATCTTATATTTTTCAACAGACCAGAATGTCATACTAATATGCACATCTCAGGATCTTACAATGTACAAACTTTCATGAACATTTGAATAAGTACACAACATACTGATATGCTCATCTTCTTTTTGGAACTAAAAATGTACAAATCATGAACACCTGATTAAGTGTTTAGGAGGATTTATGCCAACAAAATGCATACTAAATAGTAAAAAAAATGTGAATGGTTCTGTGGAGCCCTGTGTCTTGCTGCAATTGCTGCTGTCAGTGTTAAAGTGTAATGTTGACTGTAAAAAATGAGTCCATTTATCAGTAAAATACAGAATTTAAACAAAAAATTAAAAGTTTCATTAAATTCTATGAAGGGTTGATAAAGATATTGATGACTGAAAAACTTTATCCCTAGACTGTATCTACTTGTTTTCTGTAAATTTATAATTAAGAAGATGTGGTATGATTGTAAATGAAATAAGTCCATTTATCAGTAAAATGTGGAAAAATGAAAAAGAAAATTTTCATTAATTTGCTCTGGATACTGGTTTTTGATCATAAAAACCTTCTGTCCAACTTATGTCAAATTTAAAGAAGGTTTGACAACGTTATTGATGAATGAAAAACTTTATTCTTAGAATGTATCTTAATGATTACTGTAAAAAGATTAAGTCCATTTATCAGTAAAATACGAATAAAAGAAAATAAAGATTTTCAAAATTTGCTCTGGTACTGTCTTTTGGTCACAAAAAAGCTTCTGTCCAAATATCATAAAATTCCATGAAGGTATGACAAAGTTATTGAAGTTTAAAAAAAAACCCACAAACTGAACCTAAATGTGAACACCGCCGAATGACGACGGAATCTAGGATCGCTATGTATCTCCCTTTCAGCGCGACATTTATTTCGCGGCCGACAAAAGTAGACAAAACTCTGGAAGTTGTTGGCTTCCCATAATGTCCTTATATGTACACTCATCATTGATACCCGGATTAAAAATATTGTACGCCAGACGTGCGTTTCGTCCACAAAAGACCAGGGGCGGATCCAGGATTTTGGAAAGGGGGGGCGTAGTATGTAAAGTTCGCCGAGCGGAGCGAGGCGAAATTTTTTTTTATTACCTTTTTTGGGATAAAAAAACATAAAATAAATGTAAAATGCACATTTTTAACGATTCCTGACGTGGGGCATGTATATTTTATAGGACATTTTTGATGCTGCATTCTCCCCATTAATTGTCTATTATAAAATGATTGAAAGGATCCAAAGCTATGTACTAATATATTTGATGTGGGATTTGTCAGTAAAAAATGAACATGGAAAATTCTCGTTTGTTGTATGGTTAATAAGCATAACCTCACAGATTTCTTGTTGTAAACATGATATACGGCTATTCAATGAAGTTTATAATACGACCGACACGAACAAAGACAAACAAGCAATTTTTATCCAAATGTTTGGTTGAAATGTTTCACCCAACAAGGGAAGTGATGGGTTCCAAATCAACCAAAGGCTACGAATGAGTCTGAAAATCAAATGCCAACGAAGTTGTGAATGACGGTCGACAAATGGAGACATAAAGGCCACACCCAGCAGGCAGGTTGCAGTTGGGCCTTGAAAAAGTATTCAGTATATCAGTTCGGCGAAACAGACATTCCGGTCAGATATGGGATTTACATGCAAACCCCCCAAAAAAATTACGCCCGTTTTTTGTTCACCACGTTCATTTAATGCTGAATAATTTTGTTGGATTTTTTTTTTTTCTTATTTCAAAAAAGGGGATAATTGTTTTCAATACAGATACGGCCAGAACTTTTGTTTAAGGCAAAAACCAGGGTCAAAATTTGTTCTCTAAAATATCTCAGACTGACCTATCAAATCAAATGGTCCGAACCTTAGACTTTAAATCTATCTAGAGCTTACTGACTGGGGATCATTATTCAGCAATGTTATTAATTGGCTGGGGCGTGTGGGGTTACACATATTTTCGTAGGTGAATAATATTGCTTTGAAACTTTTTTTTTCATGAGAGTGTAATAGAATATTACTTTCTGTTGAGTGGAATTGTGAAATAGAAGTCAATACGTTCTTGCTCAATCCTTTGTCGCTTTGAAGGCGTCATGCTTGTCATCTTCCGACTAAGCAATGTGTTACTGTAATTTGAATTTCAAAGTGCATGACTGAGTGTCGTTTTTTCGACGTACTGATCAACTCCATCGTAGCGAATCACATGACTTCAACATAATCAATAATATATTACAGTAAATACGAGCGAAAAATATCTTTATAAGTAAAGAATTGTCGCATAACAATTAAATACACTGCCGGGAAATGGCAAAGTTCACTAAGTCTAGTCTGATTAATAATTTTACAAAAAAAAAAAAAAAAAAGTTCAGGCAAAGGGGGGGCGTACGCCCTCTACGCCCCCCTCTGGATCCGCCACTGAGACTCATCAGTGACGCTCGAATCAAAAACGAAGTTGAAGAGCATTGAAGTCTCGAAATTCCGAAAGGTTTTGCCAAATACAGCTAAAGTAATCTATTCATGGGGTATAACATATCCGCACCTTCGTTTTAGGACACCACAATGTACAAATCTCAATGAACATTTGATGACGCGGCATTAATGAGGAGTCAGTATGTCCACAACGAACACACACATGTCTAAGTCCAAAGGAGAATTACTATGTGATTGGTCAACGGACCATGATATTAAGCCGACAAACGTATGCAGCATATTCATGTGAGGATCTTACAATGTACAAAGTTTTCACGATGCCCCATGTAGATAAATAACCCTTGCAACACTGACTCTGAGGGACCCGTGACGGGTGGCCGTTTCAAGGCAAAATTGATGAAGGCTAATCCTGACAAATTCCAGGCTATAGCCATTGGAAAAAAAAACAAATAAACATAATTTGATATTTAATTTAAATGGAAACAAAATTTTTTGTGAAGAAAATGTTAAACTTCTTGGAATAACTATAGATTCGGACTTAAACTTTAACAATCATATATCTGAAATATGTAAAAAGGCAATTTTAACTATTGTCCAGTAATTTGGCACTACTGTAGCGAAAAAAATTCTTTTAAAATGGAAAAAATTCAAGAAAGAGCTCTAAGATTCATTTATGAAGATTATGATAGTCCATACGAAAAACTGCTAAAAAATCTAGATTACCATCTTTAAAAATAAGAAGTCAGAATAAAAACAATTGCAATAGAAACATTTAAAATAATTCACAAAAAAAGTCCAAGCTACCTTCATGATTTGATTGATATAAAAATTAACAAGTATGATTTAAGATCACAGGAAACAGCAGTACTCCCAAGAGTCCGAACTACTAAGTATGGCTTAAAATCGTTTCGCTATAATGCTGCACAAATCTGGAATGAGCTGCCGAACCATTGTCGAATGGAAACATCTTTTGACCAATTCAAAAAATTGGTACAAACATGGGATCCAAGTAACAGCTCATGCCAGTGCAGTGCATGCATATAGTGTTATCATGACCTGTGTTTATTTTTTTGACTATTTGATTTGTGCAATCTTATTATTAACTTGTGCCAAGTTTTAAGCGTACTATGCTTTTAACTTATATTTGTCATTTATGGTATCTTACTATGCATTATATGTTTAAAATTGTATTGTTTTCATGACTTTTGTATGTGTGTATTGTATTTTGTTATTAAGTCGATTTGAAAAGCTCACTAGAGCTTGTGTTTATGTAGTTTATGGAATATCGACTCTAAATAAAACTTTGAATTTTGAATCTTGAATCCTGCTGCCCCTATCTCATTACAACATACAAATACCCTCATTTTCCACTGGCAGCCCAAATTTCCGGTTCTTCATCCCGGTTAACTTACCTATTGTATATTAATTTGTTCTCGTCCAGAATATGCATGAAATATTTGCCACTGACTTTGGGCAAGCAATCTAAAGTTCCTGGGGCATAACACCGAAAAAGTCAATGGATAAAAAAAAACTTTTTGCTGGAAAGTTTACTCATCTTAATATTATAATTGTATAACGTTTGGTTAAAATCGGACAAATAACTTAAAATTGGATGGACCCTTTAAATCCTCAAAACTTGGCGGGGTCACCATGATGAACATATTATAGATGTACCATACTTGCAAAGCAGGGGCTTTTTCACAAAAGAAATTCTTACGACAAATATTGATCGTAAGCTGTACTGAAATGTTCATGACTTTAGAGTATTTTTTCTTGTAAGATTTTTTGTGAAATGAGTCGCTGACCCTTTGTTATATACCATATAAATGTTAAATACATGGTATATGAACACTATTAACATTCCCATAGATTTTAATTGATTTTACCTTAATATGTATTTTAGGGAAATATTATATGTAATCTAGTCAGTCCAAAAGGATGGAACAATTCTATTTGATGAATATGTAGTTTTATACAATAAAATGTGTTAAATGCTGAATGCACAGGATATCCATGAAGTCGACGCTATTAAAGCGTTTCCCGTTTCTTAATAACTATCGCGCAAGAGGAGGGGTATAGTAAAGAGAGTGAGAGTAGGATGTACACAATGTTTGTACGACATTTATTTCGTTGTTTAATTGTTTGCACCTGAGGTTTGCACTGAATAGTAAATTTTCTATTTTGATACCACATGCTTAACACTACTATGGTCGTCTTTCTTGTTTCGGGTGAACTTATTAACTCTGATACAATCACTTGTGTTTTTTTTAATATCTGATATTACAATAAGGGATTGTATCAGAGTTGATAAAAACAAGGTAAGACAATCATAGTAGTGTTAAGTATTTGGTATTAAAATAGAAATTAAATATTCAGTGCAAACAATGAAAAAATCCAAATCCTGTACCCAAGAGCCTATATGCAACGGAGACATCAAATCGTCCACAAATTTGCAACCACTACTCGACAGGAATCAAGTTAATATGAGAAAACTTGGTAAAAGCCTTTGATGGGGACGCAAAGTTTAAAATCAGATTTCGATTTGATAAAGTATATATTAACAAAGAGCTGAGAACAAACTTAGAACAGAATATATGTTATGCCCAATTATAGGGAACACAAAGTCCCAAAATTGAAAAAAATAAAGGAGTATGTAATAACTTCCTTTATCGTTTGTTCGCATCGTCTCTCATGGATTTCAAATCCATTCAACAGTCGAATCACTCAACTATTCTGTGACTTTGAGCTATCAAATAATATTTCTAGTCATTTTTTAGACAGTAGTCCCACTGTTGCAATCATCAACATCAAAATAGAACTAATTCATTTTACATGTGATCGTAAATTATAAATGTTTTACCTCCACGTAATCATGCTCTCAATTTATTGTTAATGTGTCGTTAATTAGAAAATGTTGTGTCTTTACTTATTTGTATGAAGTGTATTTTTTGTATAATTATGTTTTATAGCCTGATAAATCAGTTTATAGGTTTATTACATGCCATCAACCTAATGAAAGCGAAATTATGTTTTCCTTAGATATACTTAGATTCTTTGCATTTTACTACACCTGCTCTTCTTACGTGCTGAGCTGTGCGGTACATATGAATACGCATCTTATAAAATATTAATCTGATAATTCCCGACAGTGCCATATTCTCTGCACGTAAAAGCCTTGTAATTAAATTTTAGGTGTCCTTAAGAGAGCATTTTTTTTTAAAATTCTGCCCTTACCTAACATGCTTTGCTTTTGTTGCAAAATCGCCTAAAATTATATTTTATCGTATTTTTAAAAAGAATTTACAATTTGAAAAATACATTTTTACCTAGCAATTTCATTTATATTGTGCAAACATAGATGTGGCAGTCACAATCTGCCGATTGAGTCTAAGAGGGGACTGGGTTTACCAAGAGAAGACAGTCTGCCGTCTCTGTGACTCAAATGACGTTGTTGACGAGTACCATTACATTATGAATTGTAGCACATTCGAATCAGAAAGAAACAAATTTTTACCACAGTACTGTTGGTCAACCCCTAATACCTATATATTTGATCAACTGTTTAACTCATCAAATATTGTTATATTAAATATATGTATTTATTCAAGATAAAAGGCCTGAATTTGACAGACACAAGAAATTAAAATTGCATACAGGTATAGCACTAGACATGAATAGGATTTCACAGTTACAGACACTAAAATGATTTACAGTTGTGATCACTTAAAAAAATATAATTTAAAAAATTAAATTATGGAAATTGTCATTATTTTGATATTTGACTAGATTGTAATAATTAATTAAATGGACTAATTTTCACTGCAGCCTAATACCTTAGGATGACCCACAAAAGTTAATGGAACTTATTTCCAGTGGGGTCCTTTTAAAAAGAGACTACCAGTTCACACATATAAGTAACAAAAATCATTTAAATTTATCACAGATAAAGGCTCAAAGCCTCAGTAAAATTAATAAAAAAACAAATTCACTATTAAAGATGGATTTAGATTTATCCATCAAAGTTTTTTTACTTGTACTTTAAAATTATATTTCTTTGAGCAATTTTCACTATTTCTGATAGCGAGTTCCAATCTTTTATTCCATTGTGGATTCACAACCTTTAATTCCAGATATATACAAATTCATATTGCTAGATCTTGTGTTGAAAGATGTTTCATTTCTAACAAAATTAGTATGCAAATAATTTGGGCATATATTGTTAAAAATGTTGAAGACATGATTGAGTCTCAGTTGTTTGACTCTATAATAGTTTTAAAAAACCTATTTTTTTCAAATTCAATATATGTCACACTTTTCCTAGGATGTATAATTGTAGAATAAATCTCAGAATCTTATTTTGTGCCACTTCAAGTTTATTCTTCATTTGTTTTGATATACCTTCATACCAGCATGCACATGCATAATCAAAATGACATTGAATCAGAGAAGAGCACAATGTTTTCCTTGATTGAAAATTCAGACACTCTTTCTTTCTATATAAAATTTAAGCCTTTGATTAACTTTTTTCACTATAAAATTTCCAATAAAATCACCAGTCAGAAATCGATCAATTATTATTCCCAAATATTTTTGGATTTTTGGATTCTATATTAATACCTTTACAGAGATAGAAAAATCACGCGGTATTAGAGACCGAAGTTTTCGACCGGGACCAAAAATTATAATCTATTGTCAGTTAACTCCAGCATTCTGGATAATTTATGAGAGATGAATTATTAATAGAAATATTATCATATGTAAATTTATCAAAGTTATAAATGTGAAAGTCAGTCCTCCAAATTAATTTCATTGTATTGTTCACACATGCATGTAATAATTGTACCTTATAGTTATGTTTATATATGTTCTCTGTAACTATGTAGTTGTAGTTTTATGAGAAAAAAGTCATTCATTCATTCAATTGAGAGTTGTCTCATTGGCACTCATACCACATCTTCTTATTTATATAATCTGTGTTGATAGTGACAGTTCAAATCCGTTTCAATCCCGGTCGTTGTAGAACCTATCTTATTGATTAAAAATATATATTTTCGTCTTGAATGATTCACAGAAGAAAATAAACAACAACAACAAAAATTCCACCAAGACAATTACGCTTTGAATCAAAGGTCATCATCATTCAAGACCTTTGTAGAGAACAAACGAAGGTTGAAATGGGCAGTCAAAATGGATACAGACACAATTTTAATTTCTTTTAAACTATATCGAAAATATTAAATATTTTCATGGAATGCTTATAATTATTGATCAAATACATCAATTTTAGGGTGTCTTTTTTATACATTAAATTCTAATAATAAAATGTCTGAAAAATATTGAAATACAGATTATAACCATGATGATGAATTTATGATTAAGATTTATATATTTTTTCCTTTAGGTTTATGTATGAATTAGTATAACAAATATGTGATGTTTAGAAGGCAAGTTAAGAATCTACTGTGCGACTTCTCAAAGTTTTATAACAATATATTCATCCGTTGTTTTATGGAAATTAAAGTCTACCCAGAAGATCCGCTAGTGGATGACAAAATCAGTATAACAATATCTGGACTATCACCGCAACAGAAAGTTACAGTTAAATCATCAGTTACTGAAGTCAAATCAACATTCTCATCTTCAGCGTGTTTCATCTCAGATGCCAGTGGACATGTCTTCGTTGATAAACAGTCATCGATACTGGGAACCTATACAGGTGATTAGAAAATCTCCTTTACAATGATACATGTATATTATATCTCTATTATAGGCTCTCTGTACGTTTAATTGTGTGTGCAAAAATACAAAGTACCAAAGCTTTCATGCGGACATGGGAGTCTCGGGATGATACCAGGTTCGATAAATGAAAAATGTCATATAATAATTAATTAATCGACCCGATGTTCCGGTTCATTGTACTATATCTGGACTGTCTGCTGTTCAGTATGCACATAGAGAAAGTGTAACATCTTCACTTATATTTAGCGGCTTATATCTCCACTTATAAAGGGCAATTTGTCCAGATAAAAGGATAAAACTTTGAAATATACTAAACAAATTTTTTCACTATTTAATTAGCATATACATTTACATTGGATAACATGATATGTAAAATTAAGTATATTTCTGTAGTAGATATTAATTCATTTCAATATGATATTTATTCATGCGAGCATTCTTTATTAAGTGTTCACGAAAGGTCAAGATAGTTTTTACATTTTCTGTTTATTTGCATTGTTGTTTTTAATACGAATTATTTTTGTAGGCATATCTTTGTTGTCCATTTGTAGAAATTTTTCTATCACAGAAACTTATGTAATGGTCTATCGATAGATCCTTCTTATCGAAAAAGATAAGTCTTAGCTCCTACCATTTTTTATATTTGTATGGTAACATGAATCGTAAAGGAACTTTCCACTTCCTGGGACATGTACTTTTATTTATTGGTCCTAGCCAACATTTAAAATAATGATTGTGTTGCTCATTTTGCATCTGCCGTCCGTTTTATCTCCAATTACGCAAACAGATCATGAATGTTATAGAAAAAAAATTGATTCCTATTTGTTAATATCCGAATTTCATCTTTATTTAAACTACAAGACCCAATGACTTTTGCTTATTAGACGACACAAACATGCAGAATGGATATGGTGTCGCACATGGTTGAATTGAACCATAGAGGTTTATTAATCAAATTCTAATTTCATCTCTGAAATTCTCGTAGAGTATTGCCTATTGGGTTAACTTAGCAGGAATAGTGTATTATGGTCTTGCGTAAAATGTCTTCATTTCTTGTAGGTCAGATCAAAAACATTCCAACCCGAAGCTAATTTTTTCTTTAACAGAGAAATGTGATTTTGATTCTAGTATGTTCTCTTCAATGATTTCTAATTCAATGAAACTCATTTCGTTTGGCTTACAATGGTGACACAAACTTCCTATTTATAGGCAATGAGATATATCTAGTACTTTTGATAGAAATAAATTGTTTTTTGTACTTTTCTGTTGGTGTTTATCTGCATGGTTTTATACGTATCATGGTTGTAGATGTGCCAAATAATGTTTTGCTGTATGAATTAGTGAATTTTAAGAAACTATTAATGTCAGTTTAATCACGATACATAATGTACTGTGCTACAATTATAGACAAAGCATACCAAGGTAAGGCATTACTCCACTAACGAAGCTATATTTTATTTATCATAGTTAGACGTGTGGCCTAATGCACTGGACACAGTGCTGAGGGAAGAACAAAAACTAACGCAAATGTATAGATCTTAATTTCAAACAAAATGTATATAAATAATGAGTTAGCCATGTACAACTTAGTCTTTATGTTATCCGATGCAGGTTCCCATCATTTATAAGAATTAGATCCTACTGATCAATACTGCACATTAACTTTGGTTTCCAAAATAAAAAAATTGTCACATATAGTTTTACCATTGTTACCATGTCACTATACTACTGTGATACTGGTAATACAACAATCATAGAACTGGGATTATGAAATAAACGTCTAGTATAAAACTTTCAACATTTCATAGGTGTTGATGGTATGGGCTTATTTTGGAGTTTGACAGCAGATCCTGACCAGCAAAAAGGTTTGAGGTACCTAAAACGTGACGTAACAACACCCCAAGTTGTCAATTTATCTGTTTTCGAAGGTCACCATTCTTGGAGTGACTGTCACAATATAAGCCAAGAACCTTTAGTCTCTTCGGAAGTTCAAAGATGGTTTTTGCATAAGACAGTGAAAAGAGAAGTAATTAGAGATGGAATACTCAGGGGAACTATATTTACTCCTTCAGGTATTTTAATGATTCTTGTTCTTTACAATGCATACAGATATTTCTCAGTTAAACTTTTCAATGTTTTATTTGAGATTATTATTTATTACTTGTTTATGCACGGATCTAGACTATAGTCATAGGGGGTTATGATGCTTACAGTTGCCTTTTATTATATTGAAATTTCAACAGTGAATGGATAAGTATTTGAATAAAAATCGTATAAGTCACTTCAAACCGATTATAAAGGCATCCTTATCTGAATTTTGTGTTATTTTTTTTTACAGTTTACTGCAAACACATTTTTTGTGCAGCTATAAGAAAAAATTTAAAAAGAGTTAAAATATTAATTTTATAAAATGATTTACTCGGTATGGTATATATACATGAAGGACTCCTTCAGTCTGTGTGTCTTTAATCAAATATAGTCATACCGTTTACTGATTCCAAATTTTTATTATCTTCAGGACCAGGTCCATTCCCTGGAGTTATTGACATGTTTGGAACAGCAGGTGGACTGATAGAGTTCCGTGCAGCCATATTGGCATCCAGGGGATTTATTGTGTTTGCATTGCCGTACTTTCAGTATGAAGATTTGCCTAAAAATATGACCGATATTAATTTTGATTACCTCAAGGTATGTCCAAAAAAAAATTATTACAACCATATAATTCTTCACCATCAAAGTGTGACTTTCATAAAACTTTAAGTGATTTTTCATTAATTTTTTTTAGATATTGAAAAAACTATACAGAAGTTTTAAAATACAAATGTTAGACAAATTGCTACAATGCTGCTGCTGCTACTGATGATGATGATGATATAAATTATAAAAAATATTTTCATTGTTTTACTTAATGTTCAATCAATGGTTGTAATTCTTTATTTGAAATGCATTTTTCGATAGGAGTCAATTGATTGGTTTAGTAACCATTCGGACGTTATCAAAAATGGTGTAGGAATTCTTGGTGTATCAAAGGGTGCTGAAATAGCATTGATGCTGTCAATGGAATGTCGTCAGGTGGGTTACCCAAACAATTGATTCGGTGAAATATCTGCTTTTAAAATAGCGGTAAATACATTCTGAGATTTTTTTGAAAGAAAACTGAATAAATACAAACACTGAACAGTAGAGTGTAACTTTCTTTTAATCTTGATCATGATCTCTTAATCATGAGAAGACAGTACAAGTCATTTCTTTACTAATGACATCCTGTATTTATAACTCAAATTAATCAAGATGCTGCACGAACACAAATATAACTTAATTTAATGTGACATCAAGCTATAAATGTAGCTTATTTTAGTGCTATATCAACATACCAATATTACTTCTTTCTTTGAGAAATAAGAATACTTGTTTAGGTATTCATACTTACTGCAGTTCTTTCTCTCTATATATGAATAAAAAGGATGTAGACATCGACACAACGAAACAAACCAACGAAGGCATCTAGGAGTTAACAATAGCCAGGTGTCAATACAATATAACAAGCTCTTCCCAAGTCTTAAAAAAGTGGTGAATAGATCATACTGAAACTATCGTAGAGCTACCATCAACACCAAATTGTTGAAACTACAAAAAAATTTTAGTTATGATAAAAGACAACCACTGAAGAGGTTCCTAGATTATTGTGGCAGACACATGAATTTGTGACAGGATTTAACTATATTTTTAGGTCTGTATCCTACCCCTTTTAATCCTGCTCAGTGGGACTAACAAATGATACATAAAAGAATATTAACTATATCAAAGCATATCTGATCTTTTTTTCAAAGCAGTATCTAAGTACTGAATCTGCTGATATGAAATTATGCAGTCCTAAACTCTAACATCGGTGGCTGCATTATATAGCTACCTTTATTTTTCGTCTTTAAAATCCCCAAATTTCATTACTTTTCATTCTCAAAAAGGAGTATATAATTACAAAACAAAAGATATTCCTATTTTAGCTACCTTTTTGTAAACATCAAAACTTAAAACAGACCCAACTATGCACATTTGTTGTTTTGCCTAATACAGTAACTATTTATAATACCTCACTTGCTGTCTGGCTTAGTCATAAGCTAATTAGATGTTTAGCGCAGTATACATGTAACATTTTTTTAAATTCATTTATAGGTGAAATCAGTGGTAAACATTAATGGAACTCCATTTTGCTCATATTGTCCTCTGGGTCCATTTACAGACTTTGTTGAGTAAGTATAATATGTAGGCAGTATATTGACTTCATTTTACTCTTGGAAAATGTGTTTTATTTATATGTTAAAGTGATATTGAACAAGCTTTTGGTAACTGCAAGTTCCCTTAGATCGTTACTCTGTGTTTTTGTCTTTTTGTTATGCTAATTTTTCTTGTTTTACTTGATGTGGTAAGCGCTTTCTAACCGACTTTTACAGTTTGTTCTTATGTTGTGCTGCTGTACCAGTAACTGTTATAGTACTCAGAGTCAGAAATCAACAAATCAAAATAGCGGATTTGGTGTTTTTCAAGCACAAATTTTGTACTCACAGTGCTGAGTAAAGTTTTATGACCGAGGGTCCAGGTTTGGGAGAGTTGAACGCTCACAGACATGTTTAACGCCTTGCAGGAGTCTGTAATTCAGTGGTTGTTCTGTGGTAGTCGTTGGTTGCTGTCTGTCATTCGTTTATTGTCTTTAGCATCATCCAGGTTTTTATACGCCCGTTTACGGGACGTATTATGGTATACCGTTGTCCGTCTGTCCGTCCGTCGTCAACATGTCGGACAATAACTCAAAAATGCTTTAACCAATTGGCATGAAACTTTGGAGAATTGTTTATATCTATTGACATGAGCTCCCTTTCGTTTTTTATAAATTTAAGATTTGAAGTTTCCGAGTTACCGTTTTTTTTTCATCAAAAAAGGGGGATTTTCCAGTTTCGTACAAAACTCAAAAACACTTACACCAATTTGCAAGAAACTTTGGCGAATTGTTTATATCTATTGGCATGAGCTCCCTTTCGATTTTTATAAATTTTAGATTTTACGTTTCCGAGTTATGGGATTTTATTCATAAAAAAGGGGTGATTTTCCAGTTTTCGGACAAAATTTTTAAAGTGCTTTGAGCAGTTTTTATGAAACTTTCGTGACTGGTTTATATCTATTAAGATAACCTCCCTTTAGTTTTTCATGAATTTCTGATATGAAATTGAGAAGTTTTTGAACTTTATTCTTTGAAAAAGCGACGGGCGTATCATGATCTCGTGGCGCAGCTGTTTATTCTCTTTTGAATTTTTTCACATTTTGTCAGTCCGGAGTCTTTATAGGTACAAACAGACATATGTGATATCAGGTGATTCATAATAGTCCAGGTCCAAACAATCGTATGTGACACCAGTTGAAACAGCATAGTCCAGGTACAAACAGACATTTGTGGCATCAGCTGATCCATCATAGTCCAGTTACAAACAGACATTTATGGCATCAGCTGGTCCATCATAGTCTAGTTCTAAATAGACATTTATGGAATCAGCTGATCCATCATAGTCCAATTACAAACAGACATTTATGGCATCAGTTGATCCATCATAGTCAAGTTACAAACAGACATTTATGGCATCAGCTGATCCATCATAGTCCACTTACAAATAGACATTTGAGGCATCAGCTAATCTATCATAGTCTAGTTCTAAACAGACATTTGGGGCATCAGCTGATCCATCATAGTACAGGTACAAACAGACATATGTGATATCAGTTGAAAGATCATAGTCAAGGTACAAACAGACATATGTTACATCAGCTGATCAATCACAGTACAGGTACAAACAGATATATGTGACATCAGCTGAAACATCATAATATAGGAACAAATAGACATAGGTCTTATTTTACCAGAAGCTACTATGATCTGAATTGTAAGTCAACGAATGTCGTCTACGGATTAGAGTGTAACCATTGCGGATTGGTATATGTCGGTGAAACGAAAGCAAGGCTAAAAAACCGTATGTGCGGTCATAGATCAGACATCAACAACAATGCAAGCGACGTTGTTTACCAGCATTTTAACCAGCCCGATCATTCAATCCTTTCTGTGCAAGTTCGTATCATCGTAAAAATATACCACAGGACTAACAATCATCATCTTGCAACACCTCTCCGTAGACAAAAAGAAACTACTGGATTCGACAACTAGGAAATGCGACACCATTTGGTTGCAATGACAAAATTGATGGTTTAGGTATTCCATCTAGTCCTTCCTGTAGTTCGGTGAATGTGATGAATATTTTTAACTCTACTCCTCGACGTAGAAGCAGTCATGGTCATTGTCATTATACATCACCTACTCTCCATGATGTCTCTATTAATGACCTGTTGTCATTTATTCAAAAGCTGTTAGCTAGTGTTAGGTATTCATCACATTCGCACGAAGCTTTATTCATTACCCTTTCAAAACTTCATTCTCTGTACAACCGATTTTTGAAACAACTGTTACAAACCCTCATCAAACCAATACAAACTTACAGCTATCATCTCGGATATTTCAAGTCACAGACTTTTCAAACGAGTTCGCTTTGGAAAAGATGAAAAGGAGAAAACATCCTTTCTAAAACTTTCCTTTGCCAAGGAATGTCTCGATGCCATCAACTTTGGCTATATCCTTCATCATAAATCAGTTCACTCGAAAATACCTCCTTATTTTAAAGATCAGTCTGTACCTATCATTTCTTATACCTATACCAAACCAATTGCAACTCAAGAAAACAATTTAAGAAAAACAAATATGACAGATGTCAACCAACGATCGAAGTCATCCCTTTGTAAATTTTACGGACACCATCACGAATTGGTTGACCGTTATAGAATATCCGTTTCACATATGATATCGGATATGTTCCAATTGTCGTAACTACAATCCCGTCCCCCTTTCCCCGAATGTGACCTACCGAATGAGACTTATTACCGGGTTTGTACTAACGCGAGCAACAAGACGGGTGCCACATGTGGAGCAGGATCTGCTTACCCTTCCGGATCACCTGAGATCACCCCCAGTTTTTGGTGGGGTTCGTGTTGCTTAGTCTTTAGTTTTCTATGTTGAGTTTTGTGTACTGTTGTTTGTCTGTTGGTCTTTTTGTTTTTTAGCCACGGCGTTGTCAGTTTATTTTTGACTTCTGAGTTTGAATGTCCCTTTGGTATCTTTCGCCTCTCTTTTACATCAGCTGATCCATCATAGTACAGGTACAAACAGACATATGTGAACTATTATAGTCCAGTTACAAACAGACATTTGGGGCATCAGCTGATCCACTGTAGTCCAGTTCCAAACAGACATTTATAGCATCAGCTGATCAATCATAGTCCAATTACAAACAGACATTTATGGCATCAGCTGATTCATCAAAGTACAAGTACAAACAGATAGATGTGACTTCAGCTGAAACATCATAGTCAAGTTACAAACAGGAATATGTTACATCAGCTGATCCATCATAGTACAGGTACAAACAGACATATAAGACATCAGCTGATCCATCATAGTACAGGTACAAACAAACATATAAGCCATCAGCTTATCCATCATAGCACAGGTACAAACAGACATATAAGACATCAGCTGATCCATCATAGTACAGGTACAAACAGACATATAAGACATCAGCTGAACCATCATAGTACAGGTACAAACAGACATATAAGACATCAGCTGATCCATCATAGTACAGGTACAAACAGACATATAAGACATCAGCTGATCCATCATAGTACAGGTACAAACAGACATATAAGACATCAGCTGAACCATCATAGTACAGGTACAAACAGACATATAAGACATCAGCTGATCCATCATAGTACAGGTACAAACAGACATATAAGACATCAGCTGATCCATCATAGTACAGGTACAAACAGACATATAAGACATCAGCTTATCCATCATAGTACAGGTACAAACAGACATATAAGACATCAGCTGATCCATCATATTATAGGTACAAACAGACATTTGTGACTTCAACTGAAACATCCTAGTCCAGCTACAAACAGACATAATTATGTGGCACCAATATGAAAGAAATGCAGATCCTGTGTCTACGCTACACTTATAAGAATCTGAATAGCATGAACTCCAAACCATCGGAATCAATTGGACATAAAAATAAGCTTATAAGTTTAAACTCAGGTAATTGTCTTAAAAACCATCTAAATTTTATTTTCACAGGAATTAGCTATACATGTCAAGTTCCTTTTCCAATTTCTATGTTCGTATGTCCGTCAAGGTTAGTTTTATACGCGCATCTGGCGTATAAAATTTTAATCCTTGTATCTATGATGAGTTTATTTATATGAATGGCTAGTTGTCTTGTACAATTTAATTTCCCTTTATAATGAGCTTAAACTTTTCATTCACTATGTATCCTAGATTTATAATATAGTATTTACATTAAATACTTTGTTTTATAAGAACCTTTTTATTATTTCATTTTCTTGTTAATTGTGATATTCTTTCTTTTAAGGTCAGATTTTTCAAGATTTGAATATACAGATGAAGGGGTTCATATCTGGGATGCTTTGAATTCAAATTTCAAACCTGACAATGTTTTAAAGGTGAGATGTACATTTCTTAATTGTACTGTATTTCATAGAAATTAGCTTTGATTACTTGAGATGAACTTTCAAATTTAAGTTTAGTAAAGTCAGTTTAAAACATGTAATGGCAAATAATTTCAATACAATAATGCAGTATTTACTAAACAAAACACCAGATTTAAAAAAATAATTTTTCCATGTATTTTCTAAAAGATCATTTATGTTGGAATTACTTTTTTTGAAGACCTGGGAATCAGATGTGCAGATTTTATACATTATCGGAGAGGATGACAAGTCAGTAGATCCAGACTATGCTAATGTGGTGTATAATTGTTATCCTGATGACCAAAAGCATAAACTGACTATAAAAAAATATCCTAAAGCAGGACATCTAATTGAACCAGCCTATTTACCAGTTTGTAGAGCTTCCTTTCACAAAGTTTTTGGTGAGAGCATTAATACAAAACGTAATTTGTAAAATTACAATTTTAGAAAGTTAATTATTCATTTATCTTCATCACTCAAAGTAAATGTCCATGCTAAAAACACCGAGATATTCAAAAATAAACATTGCTTTGACGAAACAAACAATGAATGTTTAATTAATTTAGGATACAAATTATGTTTAATAAATACATATTGTATGGACACATGTCTGTTGTTAAAGAGCATATAGTGACCTCTAGATGTCTTTAGGTGGTTTTGTCTCGTTTGAGTGCTGTACTATTGACATATACCCCATATCTCCTTTCATTTATATCAATTTAGGGGAAAATAACATTTCGTCTTGGAAAGGATATTATTTTGCTAAATACTTCAACACAATCAAATTTTCTTTAATTATTGATGCAAAGCAAGCATATTATAATAAACTTGGACAATCGTAAAAGTTGAAATGTTATGTCTCAAGAAAGGGATAGAGAAAAAAACGTATATTTTATTCTTACTTGAAGCTTTTGGTGATCGATTATATGGTATTATAGAGCTTAATTCTTTACCCACACTGATGGTTATCGCACCATTTTTACATACCTTATGTTATTCCACCAATCAAGTTTTGAGGAGGAGGGTTGGGATATAAAAAAAACCTCAGTTATCCCCCCCACTCCCCCCCCCCATCGCACACACACATACTGACTACCATACCTCCTAAGCCATGAGCCCTATTTCCATTGGTTGTAATTTCTTTCTGATTTGAATGTTCTTTATATAAATAAGAATGTTTGTTGTTCATTTCCATTCGTTATTTTTAAATCTTAAGAGAATACTGGAACTAGAGTAGCTGAGTTGACCCCCGTAATTATTGATAGTGTGGCTCTATCTTTAGTTGTGCATTTTTTTAGCTATGGTATTGTCAAAATTTCTTCGTCTTACCATTTTTGATGGCCCTTTGTTATCTTACTTTTTATCATTCTATGAATACTACAAGTTTTTGATATTCTTTTAAATGTCTTTTTCTATTTGCATAAAAGTTTAATATATTTTTTAGGTATAGTGTTTGTATGGGGAGGGATAAAGGAAGATCATGCTAGAGCACAAGAAGATTCCTGGAAATCTATCTTGAAATTCTTCAAAAGTACATTGTTAAATAACAAAACAGGGAATAATTTGTCAAGTCAGCTGTGACACACAGACCTAAATGACTAATATATAGTATTTATATAGAAATAAATACTTTTATCATCCAGTATTATCATAAGGAGATTTTGCAAGCATTTACTTATATAAAATTGCATACTAGTAAATGAATATAGTAATCACATATTATTTTTTATACATTGTTATTTGGAACACAACAAAGGTTTATTGAAGAATTTCATAAGAACTACAAGACGGGAGGTACTTGGTGATATGTTTGAGGATAACTAGATTCCTGACATATAAACTGCAGATTAAATTTTGCTCACGAGAATACTCCTGGTAGTTGTTAACATTCATACACAGTATGACTATTAACTTTATTGGTACCTAAGAAATGCGATTCGGATTATCGGGTAGACGAATTTATATGTGTATGGTATCATTCGTAGAACCGTCTGCACACCTTATAATACATAAAACGGATAACAGAAATCACCAAAATTACTGTACAGTACAACATAACATTAAGGATAAGCTAGGCAGAATACTAACAAACACATTGAATAGCTCAAATGTTCTATTAAGAAATCAATATAATCACAGTTTACATCAAATGATTTTAATGTTAATCCGGCACTTACCATGGACTAGAATATTGTATCAATAAAAAATATCAAATATCACTAATCATTGAAATATATAATCCAACTAGAATTATCACTAAGTGTAACTGCCTGTAATTAACTGTACAGTTCACTTGAAGGTTCCGTCTTCCTTTTCATATGTGGACTGGTCGGATCCATTGACAGATCTGTCGGCGGATCACTTGGGCTCCGATTGGACTGAATGAATCAGCAACAGGAAACGCCACAATTTCCCTTTTCCAGGACTTTGGAATTCCTATTCCAGTAAAACGGTATCATAAACGAATATGATCCAAAATGAAATGTTATAAAATCTACACTAGTGATTATTCACATCGTTCTATCTATGGATGTTCTTTATTTAGTTCTATCGAATCATAAAGTCAAAAGGTGATATATCGGGCGGAGAATTTTGCGAATGTTTGATTTAGAATAAAGCGCCGGAAAGTTTCTCTACTATCATTATCAAATCTCAATAATTTCTTTTATGCACCTTTTTCCTTGTTCCTTGTTCGGGAATTTCTCTTCGGTCCTATTCTATTCCAAAAAATCCTCTGAATTCTAGTCTCCGGTAACGTTTTCGTCAATAGCATTGATAATCTGTGAGTTTTGAGATTTGCACTTATGGTCAATAATTCATGATATTACTTTTGTCACTACCAATGTTGTAATTTCTAATCCAATCTTTTATGTCTCTTTTGAATTGTTATACACATAATTCCGCGGTAAATTGCACTGTGTACAGAATTCTTTATTATCCACAACTATTCTAGAAAGTGCAGTTGCATTTCCATTCTTCGAACCTGTTCTGTGAACAATCATAAAGTCATTACTGCTAAGTTGTTGTATCCATCTCATTACTTCACCGTCCAGGTCCTTGAATTTGTAAAGCCAAGTAAGTGAGTCGTGGTGCGTTCTCAGTATGAATCGACGACCAACTAATGTCTAAAATATTGAATGAAGTTAACTACCGCTTACAGTTTTTTCGTGTTACACAATGATTTCGTTTAGCTTTGTTTGAAGTCCTGCTTGAGTATCCTATCACACCCTCTTGTCCTCCTTAACTGAGACAATCCCAAAATGACTCGCATCTGTATCCAATATCAACTCTTCTCCGTTGATTTATGGATATATGCAAGTACAGGAGAAGTTGACATCTTATCTTTGAGTTAACGGAAAGCTTTTTCAAAACCACATGCCATCGCCCTGGAGCTTTTAACTGCAATAAATAAAAAAAAAAAAACACTTAGCAAGTTCCAAAAAATCGTTGATAAATCTTCTGTAATAAGAAATCAGTCCACGAAAGATCTTAATTAAGAAACATTTGTCGGGGGCTTCATCTTGACTATTATCCTTACCTTTGAAGGATTCGTCTGCACCCTTTCTGTTGACACAATATGTCCGAGATACTCTACCTTGAGTTTAAAAAAACTACTCTACGCGGCAAAAATTGACATTCATTTGGCTCCACTCAGTGCGTCAATATTATCATCTGTTCTAGGGATCGAATACGCATCTTTAATCGTCTTATCGTTCAATTTCCTGTAATCGACACACAGGCGCCACAAAAGATCGTTAGTTACTACTAAGCTTGACGAGCAGGGGCTATTGGACTTGTCAATAAGTTTCTCATTCTTCAACTTCTTAATTTTATCAATCGCTTGACGTTTTTAAAGAGGTATTCTTCATAGAGGCTCCTTTACTGGAATGTCTTTTTTCAATTTGATACTATGCATACCATTTGTTGTTTTTTTCTGGCTCTCCTGCTGGATCATAGAAAGTATCTTTATACTTCAACAGAACTTCTTGAAACTTCTGGCTTCCACTTTCTGTAAGGTTTTTTCCCCATTATTATACATGTCCGTGATTTACTGTGGAATACGCCGTATATCTGTCCTCCTGAACATGACAAACAGTTCATTCTTCCATCAATTCAATGTTATCCACAATTTTCTGAGCTTGAACAAATAATCCATTATGAGTTCCTTTGTAAAGAATAATGTCGGTATCACAAGGTATAGGATTCATGATCCTCGAATAAATATGCGAAAGTGATGCATTCACTAAAACTCTTCCAAGGGCTAATCCGTATTCATGCAAAAATGGGCTCAAAATTCCAAACACCTCCGAATTCCCTTCAGCATAAAGTTCTCTAGTGAGCTTTGTTTTCACAATTATTTCATGTCTCGCAGAAATGTCTATGTTTCCATTGCTATAATACGACTAGATCGCACATTGAAACATTTTAGTTCAAGCGGTGTTCTTAATCCGTGTGTATCTAGGGATCCCGAGTCGAAATTCCATTGACATCGATATTTTGAAATAAAATATTCGCCTAATATATGAATTTTCACACCTCAAACATATCAACATTGGATATGCAGCACAAAATTAACAAAAATTAATAGAATTGAGAATGGAAACAGGGAATGTGTCAAAGAGACAACAACCCGACCAAAGAGCAGAAAACAGCCCAAGGCCGCCAACTGGTTTTCAACACAGCGAGAAAATCCCGCACCAAGAGGCGGACTTCAGCTGGCCCATAAACAATAATGTATACTGGTTCAGCGAAAATGGACGTCACACTAAACTCCGACACATATAAATGAACCAAAATTAAAAAACATACAAGACTAACAAAGGCAGAGGTTCCTGACAAAAATGTTCATTACAGCCGTTTCTAACTTTTTCAGCGTTTCCAACTGTGAATAGATATAAGAAGATGTGGTATGAGTGCCAATGAGACAACTCTCCATCCAAGTCACAATTTGTAAAAGTAAACCATTATAGGTCAAAGTACGGCCTTCAACACGGAGCCTTGGCTCACACCGAACAGCAAGCTATAAACGGTCCCAAAAATGACTAGTGTAAAACCATTTAAACAGGAAAATCAACGGTCTAATCTATATAAAAAACGAGAAACACTTATGAACCACATCAACAAACGACAACCACTGAACATCAGGTTCCTGACTTAGGACAGGTGCAAACAAATGCAGCGGGTTTAAACGTTTTAATAGGCACCAACCTTCACCCTACCTGAAACAATAGTGTAACATCACAACATAGAAAGACACACTATAAAATATCAATTGAAATGGCTTTACTCAATCAAAAGACATATTAAAAAAACAAGTGAACATACACTGAACGATTAAATTTGATCTATGACACAATGTAAATACAAAATTAATAAAACAAGGGGGAGTCAACTCGGCTAAGCACAGGGCTCAAATCCGGCATTAGACTATAGTAGCTCTCTTCTGTGATAAATGTTCTCCTGGATCCGATTTCAACTTTTCAAGTTAAAGCGTACCCCTCAATCATTTTGAATTTCCTTTCACTCTAGCTTTCTTTCACGGCTACATTATATTGCCTGCCGTCCGTCTGTAAATATTTACTGTTCGGATTTCAACTTTTCAAGTTAAAGCGTACCCATTCAATCATTCCGTCAATCATTATTCTTGAATTTCCTTTCACTCTAGTTTTCTTTCACGGCTACATTATATTACATGCCGTCCGTCTGTAAATATTCACTGTTCGGATTTCCCTTTTCAGATTGGGTGTATCGGATTCTTGAATCGCTTCATTCCTTTTAGAATTGTCTATTGACACTCACATATATTCTCTCTAGAAATACTTTTCGTACTGGAAATATCACTGTTAACACTTGTTCTAGGCCTCATATAAGCTACGATCGGAACATGACCTACTGCCCCGACTGGGTGTGTTTAACTGTGGTACTCTCTTTCCCCCGTCCGTTTTTACAGGCGGAGAACTATTTCCCGTCTGCAATCGACTTCACTGGTTCTGTAATGTACAATTTCAACAATTATAACATGTAACATTATGTTCAACCTTCGCTTTCCGATAATTAGGGATTCTTGAAACAAGTCGTCTTCTTTGTGCTGAATTTCAGTTTTTCTCCTAAAATATTGATCCCTGTTTGTTTTTTTCAACGGAATACATAGTCTTTTTTCACCAGATTGTTGAGCCTTTCACTGAGGCTGATGCATTCTTTCTCCGTGGTACTCGTCACGGATCTTCTCAAGTTTTTGTTCGAGAAAGTTTAACCGATAGTCTAAACTCCTCTGATTCGCCACAAGCATTAAGGGAAGTCTTTAAACTATAATCACGAAAGTAAAGTCTTTATACTATTTTTCTTAACCGTATCTGGGCTATATATATCAGGATAAACTCGTCTGTACAGGTATTCAATGGATTGTCCTAGATCCCAAAAAGAAAGTCTCTCCAAATTTACTTTTCCTCAGTTTTACTTCAACTAGATACGCTTCCTTCATATTATACTGCCCAAAGCGAAGTTCCAGTTTTTGCAAAAGAGAGTTCCAGTTCGTAATATTACTTTCAGGTAAACCATGCACATAAGCTTCTGATTTACCTCTTAAGGTAGCAAGAAAAACAACCAGTTTTCTCTCTTCTGTCCAGTCGTTCAGTCTAGCAATGTTCTCGTAATACCGTAAAAAGTCAGACCATACATCATGAGTAGTCCCATTTAATGTTCTTTTCACATTAATTTCGGACAGCTTAGCTAAATTTAATTCGTCTTCACCTAAAAATGGTAAAAATTAACTTGACCCTTCTGGCTCCGCATTGGTCTTTTTCCTGGAAAGACTTTTCTGGGGGGAATAAAAATTCCTTGCATTCGTCTTCTGAACAGCACACAGTCCATACTACGTTTCTTTGCGTGTTAATTTCTTCCGACATTTTTACAATCACTGTCAGCAAAAATAGAATAAACACGATTGTACAAATCACTTCACAATTAACTTTTAATCAGCACACAAACTCGTGCAACGGATTCGTAGTTATACCGGTAATTCCACTTATTAACACACTAACAAGCACTACACACATAATCAATTAAATGAATAATCATGTCCATCCAATTGAATGGCTCAACGTCTGTCAGCCAAAGCTGAACTTAGACGGTTTTGTGTGTTCTGTTTATGCCCTCTTAGTTTTTTGCTCTCAAACCTTTTATATATTTGCATTCCAAACTTTTGGTCACGAGCGTACATAATAACGGTTATTTCCAAAAACATATGTCTAGACATGAAACAGCAATTTTTTTTTTTAAGTTCCAGCTAGAGCCAATCTGATTAAATCAAGTTGCTGCGTTTAGCTTATAAGATGCTTTATCGTTTAAAGTCCATGTGCATTTCGGATTGCCGAACAAGTAATATTGATATCACACCATTATGCATGATTAACACATCTCTAGAAAATATATCACCTTAGCATAACTCCATCATATAATGCCAGATGGACAAGTCAATTACATGATATGTATACAAAAGCTTTTAGACTTCTTAAAAATTATAAGATATTAAAAAACTAAGTTGATAGACAGTCTCTAGAAAGACTCTATATTGCCTTTACTAGACCTATATTGCAAAATGGGAATATAATCTGTGGTAATTGTACAAAAGGAGGATGAGACGGTACAATTGGATGACTGAGATGCTTCAGGAATTGTAACTTGTCTTGTAAAGGGAAGACCTAATTATGTTGGGATTCTCCTCAGAATAGGCGACAGAAAAAAAATTATATTTAAAAAAAAGTTATTTCTCAAGAAACTCCCAGATGCATTGCTGCTGAGATTTTGTTGTTGTATGCAAACACCAATGTCAAGTATGATCTGCGACAGAATGATGAATTTATAACTCCGCAGTGTCGAGCCATCGCCAATAAAAAAAAAGGTGTTATCCCACATACTATTGAACATTCATGGCATTCGGTAGATGGAAAAGTTAAAAAAAATAGTGACAGCATAACATGATTCAAATGAAAGCTGAATGATGATATTATTACATATCTAGTTTTCTTTTCCCGGCATGACTGGTTTGCCAAATAATAATAAATATAATTTTTGACAGTTGAAAAAGGAAGTTAGTGTTTCAAAAACATCACCATTTGTGTGATCATTTGTTGTACACCTCTGCATGTTTCTGTGAGAAAAGGTAGAAGATAATTACTATTTATTTTATGTATGTCCAATTTTTATCAGATATAATTACATATGCCCAACAAATTTATACAGAAACTGGAAGATTTTTTTATGATATTTGGTGTATAAATATAACCAGAGACATTGTATTTTATGTCTCTGATATAGCCGTCTAAAGTTTCATTAGCCTATAACCACAGTGTTGTTACAATTTTCTTCTCTAGCTCAAATACAAATGTAACATATTGTACACAAAAATCAAAATGTATTACTTGTATCATCAGTTTGCCGCGAAATATTTTTCTATATCATATTCTATGTTCTTCTATTAATTAAAATGTTTTAAAAAATCATGATATTAAAGACTGTAATAAGATGGTATACTATCTACTGAAATATGTATTGGAAAATAAGGGGCAACAATTGTAACTATAGTATGCGTAAAACAACTTTATTACAGTGAGTTAGTGAATTTGAGTAATTTGAGTAAATACGTTGTTTAATTCTCACCCTAACTCATTGATGTGATCTGGGAGTATAATAGTCCCAGGTGTGATAGATAATTTAAAAATATTTATTTGAATTTATAATAGTGAACTGCCAAGGCTTCACTTTCAACCCAAATAAAACAGAAATAATGACCATTTCAAAAAAGCACCATAAACCTCATCACCCACAAGTTTATATGAATAATAATAACATAAAAGAAGTAGAGTCGCACAAGCATTTAGGGTTTATTATAAATGAAGATGGAAGCTGGAATAATCATGTAAAAATGATTATTGATAAAGCTATTCCACGATTAGCATTATTCCGAAAGCTGAAGTTTAAACTAAAAAGGAAGAATTTAGAGACTATTTATTTATCTTTTATACGCCCAGTCTTAGAATATGGTGATATTGTCTGGGATAATATCCCTTGTTATTTAAAAACATCTTTGAAAACTTACAACTAGAAGCAGCAAGAATTGTCACGAGTGGTACAGAGATAACATCGAGACAGTTGCTGTACTATGAAACAGGTTGGGAAACTCTCCAGTCTCGGCGTAATAAACATAAGTTGTTAAAATTTCACCAAATGTTTCACAGAGATTGTCCTGATTATCTTTCTGTATTAGTTCCAAACCAGAGGCTAGATCTACATGACCACAGGACTAGGGGGTCTTCATATTTACAAACTATATTATGCAGAACAAGCTATTACCAGAAGTCATTTCTACCAGCCGTTATAAACCTTTGGAATAATATTCCAGACGACATTCGTTTAAATCAATCAAAATCTGGTTTTAAGACGTATCTCTTTCAAAATATTAATAAAATACCTTTGTATTTTCACTTAGGCTGTAGAAGAGAACAGATATGTTTAGCAAGACTCAGACTCCAAAGTAGTGTTCTAAGGGACCATCTATTTAAAAAAAATCTTATCGAAAACGCACTGTGTTCCTGTGGTCACGTAGAAACTACCTCTCATTACTTCTTCAAATGTCTAAAATATAATGAAATTCGAAGGGATACTATCGGGACAGTCTCTTGTATTAATCTTAAGATTATCTTATATGGGGACAGTTTAAAGTCTGGTGAGGACAATATGCAAATATTTCATAAAGTTTCTGAATATATAAAATAAACAAAACGTTTTGAAGGTTGACCTTGTATATGTTTTTATTAGTTAAATACATTGATGTCAAATCGAGTGGATTGCCCATAATCGACTATAATCGGACATGTGTGGTGGCTCCAGTGACTGTCTATCAAGAAAGTAAGTTTACTGTTTCGTTGGGTTTTTTTTTATTTGTTAGTTTTGTTGGTTTTTTTGGTATTTATTCAAATTTATTATATGCTACCTTAAACCTGGGACTATTATACTATTAGTATAACAGTCCCAGCTTAAACTGAATATACTGTTGGCACGTCATATTGTTTATTTAAAAATAGATGTTATTATTAATTTTTTTTGGGAGACGGATTTATAAAAGTTTTTCCAGACTTGTTTCCGAATCACATATTTGAATTTCATGTAACATTGTAATACTTTATTGTTGTAATTTTTCATTAAAAAATACTGTTTAAACTAAGGCTTCACTGATAGTGTATTAAGTTACCCGGAAAGACTGAAAAAACTTAAGCTGCCAACATTGTCATATAGAAGGGTCCGAGGGGATATGATTGAGACGTATAAGATACTTAACGGAAAATATGATCCAGAAACTAGTACATTTCTCAAATTAATTTCAAACACCGAAAATAGGCATAGCACAAGAGTTAATAGCAACAAAATTATTCACCAACGATTTAAAACAAGTCTGAGGAAAAACAGCTTTGCAGTAAACATTGCCAAATTATGGAACAAGTTACCAGATAAAGTAACAAAAGCGCCATCTATAAATGCATTAAAAAATAGATTAGATAATTACTGGGAATACGAAGAAATCTATTATTCTGATTATCGAGCTGAAATAACCGGAAGCAGCAATTGAAATAATAGAGATAATAATTCACTATATGAGTCTGGTGAAGAGGAACCGTGAGGATCCTGTACCGGAAAACATCATTAAGTATCATTAAGTAAGTATATCTGGGACTTACACTAACTGTATAAGTAGTATGCATACCGAATCCATCTTGTATGGGAAAGCATTTGTAAAACATTTCCCTTTGTTTAAATGTACATTCGATGGATGAAACGTGAAATACTAGGTAATCTTGTAATCTTCTAGTTAATTTTAAAAGTGAACAGCCGCTTCTCCTCCGGTTACGGGCTGCGCCGGTTAGCTCCAATCAAACTAGTTTCCGTTCTTCTTTTTGACGGTAACTTTGGTGTAATTTCCGTTTAAAGTGAAAGTTGAATAAATCATAAATTTACTTTCCTTTTTTCAAATTTCGGAAAATGGTAGATTTCAATCTGACATTATGAACTACGAAGGTAAATAGGGTAAAATAATATTTTGCTTTCTAAAACATTACACTGAAAAAGCTGATATGGAAACTGAAAATTTATCTTAAATGACTCAAAAGTTGTTATCCTGCACATCCACATGTCATGAATTATCTATGAGAATGAACTTGATCTCGGCCATAGTTGTGGTGTGCATTGTAAAACACTACTGACAATATATGAATAAGAAGATGTGGTATGATTGCCAACGAGACAACTCTCCGCCAAAGACCAAATGATATAGACATGCAAACCTCTATTTTTAGACTGGGAGAAAGTCCTTTATATGTCAAATCACAAGGTAGAAAGCTGGTGAATGGTGTTGGTTTTCTTTACTACATGAGATTAACAAATGACAAAAAGAAAGTAGTAAACGAGTAAAGATTACAAATATTCTTGAACAACCATTATTTACAGTAACCAGAATAAATGGCTACAATAACACGAGGAGGAGAGTATAAGAAATGGAGAGGGATTAATTACTCATAATTGCTGTTTGTCTGTCATTACTGGCCATCACAGACATTCCCTTTAAATTCTGACATCATAAGAGAAAATGTCTGACGCAACAATGCAAAAGTGATTGTTGTTTGACGTCAGTAATTCAAGTGTTGCTAATCTCAGGTCAAGTGTCGCAGATTCCAAATATCGATAAGGTCTATTATTCAAGTTTTAATAACAGTACTAATTTAATATGAGATAGAGTTTCTCCACCTTTTGGATAATTATGGCCACCATATAATGATATTGTTACACAAGGAACTTGTTTTCATGATTAAAAAATGCGATTAAATTGTCAGTAAAATGACACAAAATCCTAAATTACAGTCTTACTCTCTATACTATCAATTTCGTCTTGTTTTTGCACTATACATTTTGGTTTTTGGTCCACATGGTCCAGTATAATAGGGTTTTGATGGGTTTGGGGATGGGGTGGGTGCTAGGGCTTTAATAATCAGTCAGTGCAGTACATGTAATTCTGTAGTAGTTATTTCTTCTAAAGGAGTAGGCCCACTAAGACCCCTTTTTTGGCCCCAAAGTATAGCATTTTTACAAATTTGTTGAAATTTAAACTTTTACCTATTTATTGGAAAGTAGAATACTTTTGTTCCATAAATATGGGATGTTTTTGCACATGCATCAGGTAATAGCAAATTAAATTCATGCAAAATTACTTTAATCTTCACAATTTTAGCATTTGTGCTAATTTTAAGACGGTTTTTGTCTAAATTGGAATTGGTTGCATTTGTGTTCAGTCTTAATATTTACATATATCTTGTATTTGATGATAATACATAACATATATAAACATGATAAAGGTTGAGACTGAACATGAATGCTGCCACTTACATTTTAGACAAAGACCATCTGTAAAGTGACGTTTCATGGCATATTTGATAGATTTTTCATGTTTAAGTTTGAATTTGAGTGTCTTTAATGACCAAATCAGTTAAAATCTTTTACATACACTAATTGAATTGACTGAAGTAGACACTTATGTGTTTAAAAAATGTCAAAAATCTTTCATCAGATTTTAATTACCTGAGGTTGAATTGAACCTTGATGAAAGGTGAAAATGAACTGTAAAAAAAGGCAGACACAGAATCGATAATTATGTTAATGATGACATTTGAACAATGCAGTTTAGAGGAATTCACTGTATTTAGACTTATGTCTAAAGGATGTTAAGCAAACAACAATCAGATAATTTTTTTTTTATACCTGTTATAGTTTTATCATAAAGATTATAATATGTTAATAATTTAAAATTTGATCTTCATGTAGATAATACTTGTAATCTGCTTTTTTGCCAGATTCTGATAGTGATAGTGATAGTGACAATGAAAAACTACAAGTCTATGATGGAGGCAATGGGGATGAAATTGGTGCTGGAGAGCCAGCAGCCAAGAAGGCTAAGACATCCAGTCAATTGGATGGGTATACTGATTTTGCCAAACGGATGATGGTATGAAAATTATACTGACTTTGAGTCCTCAAAAAACAGAATGCAGGAATTTTTCATCAAAAATTGTTTATTGAATGGACCAAATCCTTGTTATTTTTTTTCTTTAAAATCATGTGTAACTACAATCCTGTCCTCTTTTCCTTGACTGTGACATCAACAAATGAGACTTATCACCAGATTTGTGCTTGCATTAGCAACATAAATGGTGCCACATGAAGAGCAGGAACTGCTTACCTTTCTGGGGCACCTGAGTTCACCCTGGTTTTTTGAAAGATTGGAACTATTGTTCCAAGTCTTTCTTAAGGCACCGGTCTCCCAAACATGAAGTAGCACAGGTTAGCTACTAAATCTACAGAATGTATACACACTGAAATATAGTTACATAATGTCCCCAAAACAACCTTTTAAGATTATTTTTTTAAGACAATAAAGATCTTAGTTTCAAGTCTATTTGTTGATATCGTGTCCTACAAGGATAATTGATAAACTTTATTAGAAGAATCTTTACTTGGTTATTTCTTCTGTTTCTAAAGATAAAATGTAAAAGGTGAAACATGTAATTGTCAACATTTTTTGGTTAAGTTATTAATTGCAATTTAAATGAAATTGTTGACCCACTCTCATTAATTCATATTTTTCTCATTTTATCTACTGAAAAAGTGCTTTTCCTTCTAAAGACCTGTAGTAAATGCAATTTTCTACAATAGTACTATATAAATGTTCTTTTTTGTCCACACCATACATGGATTTAATTTTAAACTATTCACACTACTCTTCCAATCTTTCCATGAGTGATTCCATCACTTTGATTTGATACAGTTTGTGTTGCACAATCTTTAATTTTAAGTTTTTGTGAATTTGTTCGTCTTTTCGTTGTTTTAGTTTTTTGCCCTGGCAATGTCAGTTTTTCTTCCATTAATGAATTTTGAATGTCCTCTTGATATCTTCTGCCTTTTTTTTTCCGTATATGTCAATTTTTATGCCTCCCACGGGGGCATTAAGGTTTACCATTGTCTGTACATCTGCCTGTATGTATGATTGTCCGTACGTATGTCCCGAAATTGGTTTCCGTTCTCTAACTTTAGTATGCTTCAACTAAATGCTATGAAACATATACACAATGCTTATTACCACAAAACTCAGATTAAATTCAAATTTGGGTGGCGTCACTTTTACCGTTCTGGAGTTATGCATATTTATAACGTTATATGCAAGCAGAGTCATTTTCTGTGTCCCATGGACACATTCTCCATTTATTTTTTTATTTTACAGCTAACATTTCCATTTGCAGTAAACACAAAATTTTGAATGTTTCACAGTTGTATGTCATTTTGATTAAGGAAACGAAAGTTTAGGTCTTTGATGAAGTTCAAGGCATCATCCAATTCCGAACTTTGTTATTCTGAAAATAAAACCAAAACAGTTTTCTTTGATGTTTTGTTGATTCCAATTAATCTTGAAGCTGAAAAGCCTTGACTAGGTTGTGTTGTAAATTAAGTTGACTGAAGTAAAATGTAATGTATACATGTATTCATTGTTTTTTTAAATTATATTTGAAGAATCTTCTCTGTTTATGATTTCTTTTTTTATCTGTATATAACATATAGGCAAAGATGGGTCACACAAAAGGTTCAGGTCTAGGAAAACATGGGCAAGGTATTGTAGACATCATAGAGGCATCCAAGCAAAGAGGACGTAGAGGCTTAGGATTGACACTAAAAGGTTTAGAACCAGCTGATATTGATTGGGATTTTGAACAAGAAAAGGTAAGATTTATCCCATGTGAGATTTTTATTTGTAAGAAATCTTCATATAATTATTATACATTAAATTAAAAGTGCAGAGGAGGTCTAGACTTTCTATTTTGGCAAGCAATGAACTCAGAATTATTTATTTTTGTTCATTTGAATTTCTAGTCAGTTAATTTTGCCATCGTTATCTTAAGGTCTGAATTTAAGAAACAAGCAAAAATCTAACTTAGCAGACTCAATTTTACTCTGTTAATTTCTAGATGTGTATTTTTTGTTTCTCCTTGACGGGAGTCAAAAAGCAAGACATAGGTATGCTGTTTCTGGTGTCGTTGGCGGTGACAACAGTGTATTATTTTGTGATTAGGTCTAGTTTATTGTGAACCACTAGTGGTAGGTCAATAATATTTGTATGCAGTTATATTAGCATTGGCACATCTCATTTCCATGGCGATTGTTTGGCCCTGCCCCCTAAAGTCATGGTCCATTGACTTTGAAACTTGCTTTGTTTACATATATTAGTTTGTGATTAGGTCAGTTTATGGTGAACCACTAGTGGTAGGTCAATAATATTTGGTATGCAGTTGTAAAAGAATTAGCACATCTCATTTCCATGGATATTGTTTAGCCACGTACTTTCAGTCATGGTTCATTGACTTTGAATATTTTGCATAATTTACATGTTAAAGTATTGCTATTTTGATTTCAACATTTACATTATCAAAATTACAAAAATGCAAGACATATCTCTGTGTTAACAGTTTATTTACCATTGTTCTTAAGTATTTTAAAAATTCCACAAAATGGTGGAAATGATTGTTTTATACTTCTTATTCATTTCAGATAGTGCAAGCAGAGACAGTAGAGTGGGTACCTACTTGTACAGAGGAGAAACCATCCATAGAAACTTTAAGAAGTTGGAAAAAAATAGGAAATGTAGGTACTTGTCCTCATTTTTTTACAAAATATTGTGGAATATATACAATGATTATTCTTCTGAAGTTAAATGTTACAACCTTTATCTAATGAGTGTTTCTTTTTTTAGTTATGCCCCGCCGTAGCTGAAGGAGCATTAAGTTTTACCCTTGTCCAACTGTACGTCCGTTCGTCCATCCATACGTTCAAAAATTGTTTTCTGTTCTCTAACTTTAGTTTGCCTCGAGCAAATGTTAGGAAACTTATTACCACAAAACACAGATCAAGTTTGAATTCGGGTGGCGTCACTTTTACCATTCTAGAGTAATGCCCCTTTACAAATGGAAAAATTGATGAATTTTTCATTTCCATTTTTTAACTTAAGTTTGCCTCAACCAAATGTTATGAATCTTATACACAATGCTTATTACCACAATCCACATATGGAGTTTGAATTTTGGTGGCGTCACTTTTACCGTTCTAGAGTTATGCCCCTTTACAAATGGAAAAATAGCTGAAATTTTTGTTTCCTTTCTCTACTTTAAGTTTGCCTCAACAAAATGTTATGAAACTTATACACAATGCTTATTACCACAAAACTCAGATCAAGTACAAATTTAGGTAGCTTCACTTTTACCGTTCTTGAGTTATGTTCCTTTATAATGTTATATGCAAGCGGGGGCATCATCTGTGTCACATGGACACATTCCCCATTCATTTAATTTTAAAAAGAGCTGTATTGCAATACATCAAGATTTCTCTTGAATTCAACTAAAGCAAGCTGTATCACCTGAGTACGGTAATATTGATTTGAATACATAACATGTATAGATAGCTCTAGGTAATATTTAAATTGATCTGTCCAGGCAAAAGATATTCAAGAGAACACAAAATATACCTTTTAAGTCCAATTTTTAGCCCATTTTAGCCAAATATGAAATTGTCAATGCTGATTTAAGGACAGGAATCAATCTGTAGTTTCTTTCTTTTTGTGAACTCAACTGTAACAAGTCCTTTCTTGCCTGTTATAAAGACACCAATTCTATGGAAAAGATTACTTAAATAGTAAATAGTCTAATTATTTTATCCATGAACATATTTTTGTGCAGTACATGATATTTGCAGAACATCTCTGTGCAATTTAATGGACTTTCAATTCTTTGTAGATTCCTATTTATATGCTATTTAAAATGTCTTATTAGACCAAATAAAAAAGGTTTGGACAAAAGAAATTACAAGAAATAAATGCTTTTAAAATCTGACAATCAGAAAATGATAAATATATCTTCATGATAATTGGATAACTTTGTTTTCAGAAAAAGAGAACAATAGATGATGAGAGCCAATTTTGTGATGACAAAATTTTAAAGATGGTTCTTAGTAGTAAGGTAACAGATATCCTTAACTTTGAATAATTTTATGCCCCACCTATGCTATGATAGTAGAGGGCATTGTATTTTCTAATCTGTGCTTCTGTTCAATATTCTGTCTTATCTGTGTGTAATAAGGGCCACATAAACAAAAAAGCAATTCTCCAGTACTATGACGCATTATGTAAAATTAATATTTTTAAGTTTATTGTATTATTTACACAAAAGAATAAAACATTTTGAGAGCTATTTTTTGGTTCACAAATTATGTAGATATGCACATTACATTTTCAAAAATGTTGGGAACTATTTTGAGGTAAAATATTTTTTTACTCAAATCTTAATTTTGAGAATAAGATTTGGTGATCGTAAAATTCCTCTTAGTATTCCTTGGAGTGAAATGAATTTGATATTAATTAAGCATCACATGAAACTTTTATTGCAGAAAATAACTTTGAAGAAATTTAAATTATTTTGAAATATTATTATGGTTGTATAATTTATCATTGTTCTAGTCTGTATTCACAAGCAGTTTTTGATGTGTCAGTTATCCTGTTAGGCATAATATTCTTTACAAATAATGAACAGTTTAAACACAAATAATGTAAATAAGATTAGAAAAGCTATACAAATTAAAGATTGCCTACATTTTAGAGTATATTTGATAACTTGGAACCAGAAGAAATGAGAAGAGCTAGAACCAGATCAAATCCATATGAAACAATAAGAGGTGCATTTTTCCTGAACAGGTATATTTTCAATTTTCTTAACCAGGTTTTTTTGAAGGAAATCATACTTGATTCAGGTTTGTACACCAGGTGGGTTGCTTGATGGGCTCTCTTGGGAACTGATGGCACTAGCTGATTTGTGGAATAAATCTTTAACCGTTCAAAAATGGATCTTTTAAATATTTTGTTAAAGAGAGCAGCAAAAGATACCAAAGGGACATTCAAACTCATTAAATATGTTGTTACTGATGACAAAATATAGGTTAAGTTTGATATTGACAATTCACAAATGATTGGAAAATAGCACTTTTTGTTGTATCTGTGCAATAATTTGAGAACTGTTAAACCAATTCTTTACAAATTTTAATGTGTTGTTGCTGATGCCAAAACTGAGCTCAAGTTTGATATTGACAGATTTCACTATTGCCATTCAGGAGTTATAGACCCTTTATTAATGTAATAAAAGCTGGGTTAGCTGTTGTTTTTGACAGTCTCTTGTTTACATAGTTTATTTGCTCAGGGATTTAAAAATGCACTAGGCCAACAGGCAGAGCTAGTATTTCTTAATGTGCCAGACTATCAATGTTTGTAAGTCAGATGGGTAAATAAGGAGAAATTTTGTCTAGTCATTTTTGCATGATATGAAATTCCCAGTAATAAATATAGCTACTTTTATAATAGCAACTAATCAGAATTATATTCAATTACCTTGATATATCTATTTTTGGAATGAATTCATTATCATGTCATTGGGATATCAGTATAGATGAAATTTGATACCATACCTGGGTTCTGTTGCATTCTACATTAAACATCAATGTCTACGTGTAATAACATTATTGTAAAACAGCAAGAAGTTTGAGGTTGTTTCACATGTGTAGACGAATGATAAAAAAATTAATTAATGTATCTCCTGTCAGGTAATAGTGATTGCTAAGCAAGCATTCTTTTGAAATTCATGTGTCAGAATAGAAACAAAAACGAAAAGGTGCAATAACAAAAATTGAAAGAGTTTATGTGGTGAAGTTTATAAGCATGTAGGAGCACACATATATATATATATATAAGTCTAAATTGAAAACAACGTTTCAAACCTATGATTGCGTTGGATGAAAACCTCAATTTTTATACGTACATGTAAAACAAATTTCTTGGTAGAGGGGTCTAAATAACAATTTCCAAAAGACCAAAAAAAAAAAAGTATACTTAAACAAAACGCATTTGACAAACAGGTCGAAAAACGGATGTCCTTAAACCCTGCTGACTGCCATTGGCGATTGCCAAATAAACGGATCACAAGATGTAACAAAATGGATCTTTAATATTAATTTAATATCAAACAGAAAACAATAAACTTGCGAAAAAGATGGTATACCGCAAACATGAGGTGCAAAATTTGTACACCATATCAGGATTTCGACAATTAATGTCTCTTCAGTGATGTTAGGAATCGAAACGGTATTTGGAAGGCCATATAATTTACCTTAATTTAGGATAGACTCTTGAATTTTGAAGAGTTGAAATAGGATGAATGGATCATATAAACCCAATGGCAAATATAATACAAGCCCAAGCGAAAAAATATAAATAAGTCTAAATTGAAAACAACGTTCAAACCTATGATTGCGTTGGATAAAAACCGCAATTTTTATACGTGTGCATGCAAAACAAATTACTTGGTAGAGGGGTCTAATATATATACATTATTTTCTGTTTAGTATTAAATTAATAATTAAGATCCATTTTTTACATCGGTGATCCGTTTGTTTGGCAATCGCTAATGGCAGTCAGCAGGGTTTAAGAACATTTGTTGTTCGACCTGTTAGTCAAATGAGTTTTGTTAAAATATACTTTTTCACTTTTTTGGTCTTTTGGAAAATGTTGTTTGTGCTGTATATATATATATATATATATATATATATATATATAAAAGTCTTAATTGAAAACAACGTTCAAACCTATGATTTCCAAAAGACCAAAAAAAAAAAAAAGTGAAAAAGTCTATTTTAACAAAAAGCATTTGACTAACAGGTTGAACAACTGATGTTCTTAAACCCTGCTGACTGCCATTGGCGATTGCCAAATAAATTTATCACCAGATCTAACGAAATGGATCTTAATATTAATTTAATACCAAACAGAAAACAATAAACTTGTGGAAAAGATGGTATACCACAAACATGAGGTGCAAAAATTTGTACACCATATCCGGATTTCGACAATTAATGTCTCTTCATACGTCTAAACATGTGACAACTTTATGACAGACATTTTCCATTGGATAATCCGTAATTATACAGGGCTAACACCATAATATATATATATAATTCATCTCAAATTTAGCCCTGTTAATTTGCATTCGCAAACATTTGTTCTTCCCTCAGCGTGATTTGAACCCTTGAATCTGTGACATCGTGGCAACTCTGCCTATGTATATACATGAATAATGTTTGATCTCAGTTTAACATTTCTAACTAAAAACTGCTGTTATTTTTCAGAGCAGCTATGAAGATGGCCAACATGGATGCCATATTAGACTTTATGTTTACAAAACCATTAGATGTTGATGGAGTAAGTCAGTTTTATCATAGTCCTGATTTATTTTCCTCTTAAAAAAACTTGTACACTTAAATACAGTCTTTATGCACATTACATGTTACAATGTAAAATTTCAAATATGATGTTTAAGAAATAATTCATGGGGGATTAGTTTATACTGATTTTACCACGGGTTGACCCTTTATGCTAAATATATTTTGTAGCTATAGCGAGGGTAAAATATTGGCGTAAAGTGCAAACCCGTGGTAAAATCAGTATAAATTCAAGCCCCATTAAATATTTCTATTCTAATAGGACAAATACAGCAATTCTTTTGGATCGAAGCTCTCTAGGTCAAAGGCAAATGTTTGCTGTTCCCTTAATTTAAGACACTATTAACATTAAGGTAAAAGATGAAAAAACTTTATTAGTGACATGCTTTAACGATTTAAAATAACATACATTGTACATGGACAGTTTGGACGAAGTTAAATGATTATCTTACTTTTATCTATGACCATTGGCATTCAACTAATTTTTATCATTGTTTGTTTATATTTCTGTGTTTTGATGGCATTCAGTTTCACATTCATGCATTTTCCCGTAGAATGCTTATATTCTTACGTCATCGTTCAATAACCTCCTTTACACTATGGGAACAGCCCTAAGATATCATGACGTTGTTGATCAGCTAACATGCAATATATTCATATTATACCACAGGTGTGTACTCAAAAGCATTTGAGGAACATCATATTAAAATGCTTTTTATATAGATTTATGATACATGAAGACAAAATAGAAACACATGCTGTTTTATTATACCCCACACAACGAGTTGCGCAGGGTATAATGTTTTTGACCCCTCCGTCCGTCAGTCCGTCAGTCCTATTTCTTGTCATCGCAACTCCTCTCAAACCACACAACAGAATTTCACGAAACCTTTTTAGATAATAAGGACATACTATGTAGTTGTGCATATCGACAGGAAATTACGATTCAATTTTTTTTCTAGGAGTTACGCCCCTTTGAACTTATTTACTTTAATGTACTACTGCAACCTTTTGTCATCGCAACTCCTCTCAAACCACACAACAGAATTTCATGAAACCTTTTCAGATAATAAGGACATACAACGTAGATGTGCACATTAACAGGAAATTACGATTCAATTTTTTTTCCAGGAGTTACGCCCCTTTGAACTTATTTGCCAAATATACTACTGCAACCTTTTGTCATCGCAACTCCTCTCAAACCACACAACAGAATTTCATGAAACCTTTTCAGATAATAAGGACATACTACGTAGATGTGCATATCGACAGGAAATTACGATTCAATTTTTTTTCCAGGAGTTACGCCCCTTTGAACTTATTTGCCCAATATACTACTGCAACCTTTTGTCATCGCAACTCCTCTCAAACCACACAACAGAATTTAACGAAACCTTTTCAGATAATAAGGACATACTACGTAGATGTGCATATCGACAGGAAATTACGATTCAATTTTTTTTCCAGGAGTAAAGCCCCTTTGAACTTATTTGCCCAATATACTACTGCAACCTTTTGTCATCGCAACTCCTCTCAAACCACACAACAGAATTTCATGAAACTGTGTAGATAATAAGGACATACTATGTAGATGTGCATATTGACAGGAAATTATGATTCAATTTTTTTTTCTAATACAATTATTTTTTCTTACACTTATTTTATTTCTCCAATGACAATGTGGGGACGTGGGGTATGTGAGCGCGGTCACTAAGGTTCTTTAATTGTTTTAGAAACCATTGATGAATCATTCAGAATTGTTATATTTTGCTGATATTTGTGCTGGTCCTGGTGGATTCAGTGAATATGTACTGTGGAGGAGTAAAGCTGAAGCAAAAGGATTTGGGATGACATTGAGAGGGCCATGTGACTTTAAATTGGAGGATTTCTTTGCAGGTCCTGCTGAAATGTTTGAACCATATTATGGTAAGGACTTAATATTTCTGAAAGAGGGGAGTTATGTTAACATGATAAACATGTATATGTCATTATACCCCACGCAACACAGTAGGTAGGGTATAATGATTTTGACCCTGTCTTCTGTCCGTTTCTTACTCCTGTTCTTGTCGTCCCAACTCAACAGAAATTCATGAAACTTTGTAGATGATAAGGACATACCATGCAGATTTGCATATCAACAGGAAATTATGATTCATTGTTTTTCCTAGGAGTTATGCCCCTTTAAAGTTAGAAATTTGGCCTTAATGTACTACTGCAGTAGTTTGTCATAGCGACTCCTCTGAAAACACACAACAGAATTTCATGAAACTTTGTAGATAATATTGACATATTATGTATGGTAGATGTGTATATGGACCAGAAATTAAGATTCATTTTATTTCTAGGAGTTGTTATAAAAAGGTATGATTGCCAATGAGACAACTCTCCACCCAGAGACCAAATGATATAGACAATTTCTAAAGCAGTTGAAGAATTCTTATAAAAACTATAATGAACACCTGACAGAATGATGTTAGTAAAACAAAACAGACTTATAACAAACACTGGCACCAGAACACAGTTATTTCATAGTGCATTTCTTATAGACAAAAAATGCAGATTAAAAAAATCGCACCTGCTCTATCCAAAAAAATACTTTTATAGTGTAGTGTACTACTTTTGGGACAAATTACATATATCATAATTATAGAAAAGTCTATCTGCCTTTACTCAAAATATGGACAATTTTATGTTGAGGGCGTCTATAATTCAGTTTGACAGCTTCAGACATACTAATTTTTTACCTTTTCAAACTGGACCAAATCATCACTTTACCTAAAAGTTCATGCTCTAAATTGATTATTTTTCTATGAGTTATACTCCTTTGAACTTTGAATTTTGGTATCAATATACTACTGCAACAGTTTGTCATTGCAACTCCTCTAAAACCACACAACAGAATTTCATGACTCTTTATAGATGATAAGGACATACTATGTACATGTAGATGTGCATATCGACAGGAAATTATGATACAATTTTTTTTCTAGGAGCTATGCCCCTTTGAACTTAAAATTTTGGCCTAAATATACTACTGCAACAGTTTTTCATCGCAACTACTCAACATGAATTTCATGAAACTTTGCAGATAACAAGGTTATATTATGTAGATGTGCATATTCACAAGAAATTTTTATCAGTTGACTTTTTAAGGAGTTATGAGTCTTTGAATTTATGAATCTAGTTAGATTTTGTTTGCCCAGTGACTATGTGGCAATATTACGATAATTAATATCACCTTGAAATGTACAGCTTTGTTTACATCAGTATAATTTATTTGTAAATGTGCCTCACACAAAAATGTGCAAGCAAGACTTCCCATGGCCAACAAGTAAGTGTTCTAGTTTTATTAAAGTTTTTACATTCTGAAATATTTTTTTAAATTTTGATATAATTATACTTAATTGTTATAACCTACAGGAGTGGGAGGTGCAGAAGGTGATGGTGACATATTTAACCCAGATAATCAAGCAGCTTTCATACAATTTGTTAAAGAAAATACAGATGGAAAGGGTGTACATTTTGTAATGGCAGATGGGGTAAGAATAGATAAATGCATCTACATGTACAGTCTGACGTCAAAAGTGTTTCCAACCTTGAAAATTGTGCTCTGTATATTTTATATAAAAACACATGTTGTACAATAATTATACCCCACGCAACGAGTTGCGAAGGGTATAATGTTTTTGACCCGTCCGTCTGTCCGTCCGTCTGTTTGTCCGTCAGTCCGTCAGTCCGTCAGTCCTATTTCTTGTCATCGCAACTCCTCTCAAACCACACAACAGAATTTCACGAAACCTTTTAAGATAATAAGGACATACTATGTAGTTGTGCATATCAACAGGAAATTACGATCCATTTTTATACAACCGCAAAAAATTTTTGTGGTCGTATATTAGTATGACGTTGGCGTCGTCGTCGTCGTCGTCGTCGTTGTCCGGCTTCGTCGTCCGAAGACACATTGGTTTTCGCACTCTAACTTTAGTTTAAGTTAATGGATCTCTATGAAATTTTACCTTAAGGTTCAATACCACAAAAGGAAGGTGGGGATTGATTTTGGGGGTTATGGTACCAACAGTTAAGGAATTAGGGGCCAAAAAGGGGCCAAAAATAAGCATTTTTGTAACTTCCAGACATAACTTGTGTGTTAGTGTATGGATCTCTCTGACATTGTACCACAAGGTTCCATATCACAAAGGGAATGCTGGGATTGATTTTGGGGGTAATTGCCTCCAAATTTTAGGAATTAGGGGCCAAAAAGGGGAAAAAAAACATTTTTCTAGTTTCATGACAATAACTTGTGTGTAAGTGTATGGATCTCTCTGACATTGTACCATAAGGTTCCATATCACAAAGGGAATGATGGGATTGATTTTGGGGGTAATTGCCTCCAAATTTTAGGAATTAGGGGCCATAAAGGGGCAAAAAACAAGCATTTTTCTAGTTTCCTGACAATAACTTGTGTGTAAGTGTATGGATCTTTATGAAATTGTACTACAAGGTTCCATATCACAAAGGGAAAGCTGGAATTGATTTTGGGGGTAATTGCCCACAACGTTTAGGAATAAGGGGCCAAAAAGGGGCCAAAAATAAGCATTTTTCTAGTTTCCAGACAATAACTTGTGTTCAAGTGTATGGATCTCTCTGAAATTGTACTGCAAGGTACCAAACCACAGAGGGAAGGCTGGGATTGATTTTGGGGGTAATTCCCTAGAAATTTGAGGAATTAGGGGCCATAAAGGGGCAAAAAAACAAGCATTTTTCTAGTTTCAGGACAATAACTTGTGTGTAAGTGTATGGATCTTTATGAAATTGTACTGCAAGGTTCCATATCACAAAGGGAAAGCTGGGTTTGAGTTTGGGGGTAATTGCCCTAAATGTTTAGGAATTTGGGGCCAAAAAACAAGCATTTTTCTTGTTTCCAGACAATAACTTGTGTTCAAGTGTATGGATCTCTCTGAAATTGTACAGTTCATACATGTGAACCTCCCGACGGGAGTACAATAATCCCGTTTTCAGGGGTCTCCTCCCGACCTCCCATTGAAGACAAACAAATCCCGTGTATATATATCTGGCGTAACTGACATTACTGAAGTTATATTTTACCTGTAAATCAATTAACATGCATAGTTATATGGCCTCACTTGTCACCTTGGGTGTCAAACATACTGGTAATAAACGATTTTTACCTCAGGCTAACTGCCGTTGTGTAATAAAACTTTGTTTATTTAAAATGAATGTTGGGTTACTTCCCTTGATTTATCCTGTTTTAAGTTACTTTCCTTTAAATAATGTAAATTTTTAAAAGAATATAAATAAAATATAAATTGAACAAATAATCATAAAAGGATGGTAATTAAATGATTTTAAATGTTTTAGGACAAATAAAAAAATAATAATTTGAAAATTATTTGAGGGTTCTATACTTCCTTTCAAGGCTTAAATTGAAATTTATATAATTACTATGACCCATGATTACAGTTTGAATGTGTTACTTATCATGCATTAAAAATCTACTTGCATAAAGATAAAAATAAAAGATCTACTTGCAGATAGATAAGCAAATGTTCTGATTGCAATGAATAATGGTAAAAAAGATATGACCTAAGAAATTTAAAGAACATACTGAAAAAGAAGAATGTTAGATTGAACAAGTTGAAAGTTTAAAAAGATAGAGAAAATTTATAAGTACAAAGGTACTATAAACATAATACATTCGGATGGAAAGTTGAAGAAAACACACTTTAACAGACAATTTCTACAGCACACGGTTACATTTACGACAGAATTTATGTCACTTAAAAACATCCTGATCTGAGTCCAAATCTCCAAAACTCCTGATCTTAGTTTCACAGTCCATCACATTTGTGTGTACTGCAAGGTACCATACCACAAAGTTAAGGCTGGGATTGAGTTTGGGGGTGATGAATCATAAGGGGGTTAAAAAAATTTGGGGGGGGATTTTTTTTTCCTTTTTTTCCTTTTTTTCTTTAAAATTTTCCATTTTAAATTGGTTATTTCTGATTTATATATAAAAGCAAATAATAATGATATGGTTTGAATAGATAAATTAAAAATTTTTAAGTTCTTAGACCACATTTATTCTGTGTCAGAAACCTATGCTGTGTCAAATATTTAATTACAATCCAAATTCAGTGCTGTATCAAGCTTGAATGTTGTGTCCATACTTGCCCCAACTGTTTAGGGTTCGACCTCTGCGGTCGTATCAAGCTGCGCTCCAGCGGAGCATTTTATTTTTCTAGGAGTTACGCCCCTTTGAACTTATTTACTTTAATGTACTACTGCAACAGTTTGTCATCGCAACTCCTCTCAAACCACACAACAGAATTTCATGAAACCTTTTCAGATAATAAGGACATACAACTTAGATGTGCATATCGACAGGAAATTACGATTCAATTTTTTTCCAGGAGTTACGCCCCTTTGAACTTATTTGCCAAATATACTACTGCAACCTTTTGTCATCGCAACTCCTCTCAAACCACACAACAGAATTTCATGAAACCTTTTCAGGTAATAAGGACATACTACGTAGATGTGCATATCGACAGGAAATTATGATTCAATTTATTTTCCAGGAGTAGCTCCTTTGAACTTATTTGCCAAAAATACTACTGCAACCTTTTGTCATCGCAACTGTTTTCAAACCAAACAACAGAATTTTCACGAAACCTTTTCAGATAATAAGGACATACTACTTAGATGTGAATATCAGCAGGAAATTAAGATTCAATTTTTTTTCCTGGAGTTACGCCCCTTTGAACTTATTTGCTTTAATGTACTACTGCAACAATTTGTCATCGCAACTCCTCTGAAACCACACAACAGAATTTCATGAAACCTTTTCAGATAATAAGGACATACTACGTAGATGTGCATATCGACAGGAAATTAAGATTCAATTTTTTCCAGGAGTTACGCCCCTTTGAACTTATTCACTTTAATGTACTACTGCAACAGTTTGTCATCGCAACTCCTCTGAAACCACACAACAGAATTTCATGAAACCTTTTCAGATAATAAGGACATACTTTTTAGTTGTGCATATCAACAGGAAATTACGATTCATTTTTTTTTCTTAGTGTTACGCCCCTTTGCACTTATTTGCTTCAATGAACTTTTGCAACAGTTTGTCATCACAACTCCTCTGAAACCACACAACAGAGTTTCATGAAAGTTTGTAGATAATAAGGACATACTATGTAGATTTGCATATTGACAGGAAATTATGATTCAATTTTTTTTTCTTATACAATTTTTTTTTCTTACACTTATTTTATTTCTCCAATGACAATGTGGGAACATGGGGTATGTGAGCGCGCTCACTAAGGTTCTTTAATTGAAAGAGAAAAGAGAAACATACCCAGGAACTCCAATTAGTTGATAAAGAACTTTAAAATTGTCACTAAATAGCTAGTGAAGATGGAAGAATCCATCAAACATAGAAATTTGGAGTACAATTATCGTACTCAGACTCAGAATTCAACTAATCAAAATACTGGATTTTGTGTTTTGAGCACAAATTTTGTACTCCAAGTACTGAGTAAAATTTTATAACGTAAGTACAGATAGTTCTGTAGTTAATGGAAAAACAATCATTGAAATCAGACAAGAAATAACTTAGGGACAATTTAAAAAAAAAGTTTTTACCTCACACTGTTGATCTCTGACTGTATATAGAATAATAGAAGCCTGAATATATTTGAATCATTTGACCAGATGTGAAATTGTACAGTTAAAGTGAAAAGTATATTTATTTATTAAAAAAAATGCAACATTAATTGCAACACTTGCAAAAATTAAATTGACATTATCGGTTGATTTCAGGGATTTTCAGTGGAAGGACAAGAGAATATTCAAGAAATTTTATCTAAGCAACTGTATCTTTGCCAGTTTCTGGTGGCCATCTCTATTTTAAGGACAGGTAAGTATAAATTAGGACTGACAAATGAAATTATCATAACATTGTTTTGCAAAATGAAGATAAAATTAGATTTGCAATACAAAAAAATTACAAAAATACTAAATGAGACAGAAAACCAACAAGTAGCTGAGACTGATAAATAATTATACCAAAATTTATAAAATGAATTTTAATATTGCAGACACCTTGTCTATTTCAGAAAAACAGTGTAATCAAAAAAATATTCAGAACTAGCACTTTTATGTGGCAGTTCTTCCACTTTGTGTATTCAGACATAAATTTCAACACATTGCACATTAAAGTCTGAAAAAATATAAGATGTACCATTGTGAATGGCAATGTTTACAGAACACAATGAAAATACAGTACTATGGAACTAAATTTGCTCGGTATATTGAATTTAAATAGGATGATTATTCACCTTTGTGTGATAGTACGCAGAATGTTACATTGTTTATTTAATGCACAACTTTTTTTCAGGTGGTCATTTTGTATGCAAGCTGTTTGATTTATTCACACCATTTAGCATAGGTCTTGTATATTTAATGTACAGAATTTTTAACAAAATCTCCATTATAAAACCTGTAACCAGTAGACCAGCAAATTCTGAAAGGTAAATTGTCATAATTTGTTTATCATTATCTATTTATGTCTCAGTTTATTCTATTCATATTGAAAAAAGAGTTCACTCAGCATATAATCACTGCGATAAATAAGTACAAACAAAACAAAGTTTAAAGATTTTAATCCTGCATTCTGTGAAATTTAAGCTTTGCATCATAAATGTTGATTTATAGGTACTTTCATTTGTTTAATGAAATGCGCTTGTGTTTTATATGCTCAGTTTCGTCAAAGAAAAAATTCTCTATAAGCTGTTGCTGCTATTTATAATTTAAAAAACTAATTATATGTTGTTTCCCTCATGACACCAGGGGGAACTACATAAAAAGAGAGAGACAATACCAAGGAGGCAATCACGCATCATAAATTCAGTTAAAAAAAAAAACACTATAGGTTGCACTTTGTAAATACAGCTGTTTCTCAAACCACGCCTCTTTAGGGCATTTGAGGCAGTAATTGTGAACTTTCATTGACAAATAGGCATACAGTAAGATGTGGTCTGGAGACAGAGGCAGGATTGGATACTTTATATAATCTTGAATGTTGGAATGATTAGCTGCTAAACATTACATTTATAGTGTTCTGAAATGCTTTCAATTTGTTATCAAAATAGTTTCAAACAGGTTCTAGACATTTCATGTCAGAAAACATGCTCATAGGGTAAGCTGGAAATAATTAAAGTCTTGTTTTCAAATTCTTTAAAAAATTGATACAGGGGTGGGGGTATAAAATGTACTGTAAAAGAAAACTTGAGTATATGCAGTGATTTCTTTAAGGCTATAATTCTGATAAATAAGTATTGTTGTGAGAAAAAGTGTTTTTAGAAAGTTTTCTATAGGAATAAATGTTATTATAGGTTGCATTTTGTAAATATAGCTGTTTCTCAAACCACGCCTCTTTTGGGGAGATCTATAATATTCATAGATAATTAATTTTGTTTATGTTCTGGTTCCCGGATATGATCTCTATGTTTCATCTCGTAGAGACATAACTTGGGAATGTTACCAGTAAATATACATATTCATAGTGATCAAGTTAAAATCTGTGGGAATCCTTAAATGAAGGTAGGGTAGTATAGAATTTTAATGTAAGTTTAAAATCTTAGAAGTTGGGGGCATATAAACGTTGAAAATATGCCGCACAGCCCTATATTTTGACCTTTGAAAAAAATTGTAGTGCATATGAACTTTACATTCTAGGATGTATTTTTTTTTCAAAACTTCAAGGTAAAAGTGGTACAGTTTTAGCCGTGAAAGGAGTTCCTATAGGAAATTGCATTGTTGATATTTACAGAAGTGCAACCTATAGCTAAAATGTAAAACCACCCTTCATATAACTCATTAAAAGTAAAACTCATTTTGTTTTATGACAATTAAGGATAAGAGGACAGGATTGGGGTTGTGAAATATATCCATTGTCATCTGTGACACATATATTCCATAACTCAATCAATACATGTACTGTAAAGTTTCCTTGTAAACAGTATCAAGGAAATCATGAAATAAAATGTAAGCCCTTGAATATTGTATCAATTGGAAGATATCAGCTCTTTAAACAGGTGCTGCTGGAATGGAAATGGAAGGTTTGCAGTGAGAAAAATTAAATCATCTCTTTTGTCGTAAATTTTAGTTTTCTACCAATCCAATTATTACTTGTAAGTCAAGATATGGGGCAGACTTATATCTGTGGTGTCCTTTATTTGAAGTTCATTGAAATAGATGCAGTCAACATATATAGTCACCAAACTTTGAAGCATTACTTTATTGTATATTTTAAGTTTTTATAATAACTTTATGTAGGATTTATAGATATCAATAGTTTTTTTTTACTTTCTTTCAGATATATAGTGTGTAAAAATTTATCAAATGATATAGACACTGTTCGACAATATTTCCATGAGATAAATCTTGAGTTGAATAAACTTTTAGTATCAACATCTTCACAGGATATCAATGAGATAGTGCCTTATGATGTGTTAGAAGAAAGTGAACAATTCTTTACATACATGTTTAATTCTAACAATACGTAAGTGTTATTTGTATTTAAGTCAAATTTTTTAAAAGATTTTCATGTAAAGATTGTACAAAGTTTGTATTGTATATGTATTTTTACAAATTTAAGATATGGAAACTCACAAGAGGAACTCAGAAAAAAATATATGGAAAGAATAAAAAAAACAATTGCAAATGTCAAAGTCTAGTTTTACCCTAACACATATTGATGTCTTAAGTCAGGAACCTTATAAGTGGCTGACTTTTGTCATATCTTAATTTTTTTAAATTGGAGACTTTGGAGTTGACAGTACATATTTGATAGTCTCAGTTAATTTGTTGGTAAACTTTTTTTTAGACTTGGGCCATTTTGAATTTTGACATATTGTATAGCCACTGGTCAGTTGTTGAAGAGGGTATGTTGACCTTTGTTTTTTTATGTTGTTGGCGTTCTGTTCCATTGACATATACCCCACATCCCATTTTATTCTAATATGGATTAAAATCATCTTGTTCTTTCTTGAAAAAAGATGTTTAATTACAAATTATTGTTTTCTTTCTTCAGGTTAGGAAAGATGCAGATAGCTGGATTAAAGAAAATTCAAGCATTTACTCAAAATACGTAAGTAATTTTTATTCTGTTATATAATTTGTAATTAAAAGCATAAGAGTCTACTTGATATATGTATTTACTCATTTGTTTTTTGTTTAATGTAAAAACTTTCTCTTTTTTATATCATTATACCCCTGCTTTAAAAAAAATGGGGGTATACTGTTTTACCTCTGTCTGTCCGTCCGTCCATCCGTCCGTCCGTCCATCTGTCAGTCCGTCCATCCGTCCCATGAATATTTTTTGTTGCATCTTTCTCAGGAACTACATCATAAGGATTTCTGAAATTTGGTTTCAGTGTTTATATAAGTCAGCTATACCGTGTGATGCGTTTAAGATTCATCACTCAACAACTTCCTGTTTACCGAACACTTGCATATTTTTACACTATTAAAATTATCCAGTTGCGGTGGGGGTATGATCAGTGAGCAGTAGCTCACAGTTTCACTTGTTAATAATGCAAATCATTGAATAAAACTCTAGATACAGGAGACAGAAACTATCTAGAAGTAACCTCTGTGAGGACAGATGAGCTCCAAACTAATGTTATATTTTCCGTTAATTTAACATTCTAGGACTTACTCTCTTACTGATCTTAACATTGCACTATTTGAAATAGGGACATTGTTAAAACAATCAGTTTTTATCTGTGTCATAGAATAATTCCTTTTTGTGACATGAAAAAAACCTGCAGGAAAACACCTTTTTTCCTGTAATGGTGGACAACCATAAATTTGTATGTAAATCCAGTTCATGTTTCTTACAGTAAACTAGTCCCAATAAACAATATGAATATTTAATAATATATATATCGAATTTAAACAATTAACAATTGTTATTGTGTTCAGAGTCTACTTCTTTTTGTTCAATTGATTTGGAAAGATTGAGTGTATTAAAAAGGTTCTCTGTGAAATATTGTTTACTACATATATTATATGATATTTATTTATTTATAAATAGAGAATTATATGAAGCCAGACAATCAGATACTAGAAGTGAATGTCTTGTAAAGTGGCAGGTGAGAAATTTTTAGTTCATTTCTAAAACTAATGAGAGTTTTTGTTTTTATTTTTGTTAGATTACTTACCAGTAATTTTGACATGAAGAAAAGACATGTTTCTAACAATATAATGCATTGTATTTAGTAATGACAGTAAAAAATATTTTATGCATTTTTCTTCCCCCAATTTTTGTTCCATGGTAAATCATATCAAGTTGTGTGTCTTGATAGGTCTTGTTTTTGTGAAGATAACAGAGAGCCAATTAAGTATTAATCACCAGTTTCTATAATGGCTGATGAGTGATGTTTAACTAATTTTAATAATGGAAAACTTATATCTTATTTTAAAACAGCCCTTCAAAATAATTTCTGAAGTAACTTATGTATTCTTGACATTTTATGAGTATTTTGATTCATAGGTACCAGATGAAGTGAGAACAGCTCCTTCTAAACAGCCACCAGCAAATGCATTTTCAGATTTAATTGGGGTGAGTTCATCTGACTTAAACAGTCCTTTTTAGCTCACCTGGCCCGAAGGTGTCCGTCGTCGTCGTCGTCGTCGTTGTCGTCGTTAGCTTTTTACAAAAATCTTCTCCTCAGAAACCACTGAGCCAAATTTAACCAAACTTGGCCACAATCATCATTAGGGTATTTAGTTTAAAAAATATGTCCGATGACCCCGCCAACCTTACCAAGATGGCCACCATGGCTAAAAATAGAACATAGGGGTAAAATGTAGATTTTGGCTTATATCTCTGAAACCAAAGCATTTAGAGTAAATCTGACATAGGGTAAAACTGATTATCAGGTCAAGATCTATCTGCCCTGAAATTTTCAGACAAATCTGACAACCTGTTGTTGAATTGCTGCCCCTGAATTGGTAATTTTAAGGAAATTTTGCAATTTTTGGTTATTATCTAGAATATTATTATAGATAGAGATAAACTGTAAACAGCAAGAATTTCAGCAAAGTAAGATCTACAAATAAGTTGTCATGACCAAAATTTTCAGTCGACCCCTTTATGAGTTATTGCCCTTAATAGTCAATTTTTAACAATTTTTTGTAAATTTTTGTAATCTTTTACAAAAATCTTCTTCTCTGAAACTACTGACACAAATTTAACCATACTTGGCCATAATCATTATTAGGGTATCTAGTTTGAAAAATTTGTCCGATGACCCCGCCTTCCAACCATCATGGCCGACTTTGTTAAAAATAGAACATAGGGGTAAAATGTAGTTTTTTGGTTTATATCTCTGAAACTAAAGCATTTAGAGCAAATTTGACATGTGGCAAAACTGTTCATCAGATTAAGATTTATCTGCCCTGAAATTTTCAGACGAATTCGACAACCCGTTGTTGTGTTGCTGCCCCTAAGTTAGTAATTTTACAAAAATTTTCATTATAATATCTAATATCTAATACTATTAATTATGATTTTAACCTTATTTTACATGATTTTCAAAGCATTAGTAAATTCAGGTGAGCGACACAGGCTCTTGAGAGCCTCTAGTTTAGCATTTACAGTTAATGTTTATTAGTGTGTCTCCTTTATTTGAGTATAGGATGGATATATTCATTACATATGCAAAAAGAGATGTATAATGATAGTAAACTTCATTATGACTTGAAAGAACTTTCTGAGGCTTGTAGTGTGCACTCAAAAATGGTGAATGAATAACAATCAGCATGTCATTGGATAAAGAAAAATTAACTAACACTTTCCATGAAAATAACCCTTTCCCACCCTCAGACAATGAAATAAGTTTGTACCACGATAAACAATTGAAAAGAATTCTAATTTTGACAACATTTTAACACAAGAAAATATGAAATGTTTTTTTTATAAATTCGCAGGAGCATTAATTTTCAGTTCAGATTATATACTTCTGCGATAACTTTAGTCATGATTCTACTTATACTTCAGACAGAAGACACAGACTACATTACAAATGATATAGACAAACTTTCACCAACAGATTTACATAATATTAAAAGTGCATTCGATTATCGCTGTTATGTGATAGGGAATGTTGAGAGAAAGAGATGGTATATGTTAGGCTGTGGAGTAAGTTTATAATTTAGAATACAATTATATATTGTCTATATCCTTCATGATACTTCTGTGGTTAAAGAAGCATTTCATTAAACTAATTTTCTTTTTTGTTAAAGTTCTTTATCTTTTTCATAATAAATTGTGCACAACTGTTCAACTTCTTTTCATTAACAGTTTTGATATTGATACAATAGCTCTATAAAAACTCTTTCGTATGATTTATTTGGTAGAATGGGCAAATTTTGGAGTACCACAGTTTTGCTGATCTGTGTATTTTTGTTTTTGGCCTATATTTTGCCAACTATATGTTTGCATCTAATTGGAATTTATAATTAAACTGTGGATTACTTGGCCCAAACCTGTCTTTGGTTATTTATTCAAGCCTTGAATACATTTCCAAGGTTTCATCATTAACCTTTGAACTATTAAACTCAAGACGGTTCAGGACCTGGTTGGTACACCTTTGCTTAGAAATCACAAATGCACATATAAACATTGAAAACAAATTAAAGTATCTTGCAAGGGGACATTACAGGATTTCATTGAACCTTACACACTTTTATGCACATTGGCTTCTTCACCAGAGTCCTAACTCCATTAAAGTTCTGAGTCTGGTTGAGATTCCATGATTTTGGAGAGGTAATGGCGAAGGCAAGCACAGTACATGTAAAAACTTACCATGAGGAAGGGAGGGGGTGGATGCTAAAAGAGTTATGTTTGGATTAATATGGTTGAATAGTAGCAGTTTATTTATTTCTCTCTGAGAAATTGTGTGAATGACCATGAAGCAGAGAATTAGAGGAATACATGTGTGTTATCAGAAAAGAAGACATTAGATAATTTGCAGGTCTATCCATTAATATCCAGTGACTGCTCATTTGGAAGAGATTAATGATGACCTGGCCTTGTTTTTAGACGCCCGCCAAATTTTGATGGGACGTATTATGGTATACAAATGTCCGGCGTCCGTCTGTCCTTCTGTCGGGCGTAAACATGTCGCACCGTAACTTGAGAACATCTTATCCAAATTTCATGAAACTTAATATAGTTGTTTGTTATATATGATGGTCAAACAATCTGTATACTTTTTGGTGAAAATAAGATTAAAGGTTTCCATATACATCCCACCAGCAGCTTCACTAAATAAAGGGGGATTTCAGAGGAATGAGTCAGGATATACTTAGCATGACTTCCTGTACAACCCCCGTGTTATTCCAAAAACATTTATTATGTTTTTTTCACAAGACGACAGGCGTATCATGCGCTCATGGCGCAGCTGTTTATTCATTTAGAAAATGTAATTGTACTGTTTTATTAAAAAGAAACTGCATGTAGTGTTTTGAGTTCTTTGATCACTTCTTGGAAAAAAGTCCTTCATTTCTGGAATTTAAGGCTTAAGAGAAATACAAGTTTACAGAAGGTAAACCTGGAACTAATTATATATTTTATTTGTAATTTGATAAATGTAAAATTTTCTGCAAAATGAATCATTGATTACTTTATTTATATTGCAGAGGTCACATGTGTTTAAGTGGGATGGTCGAGGTAAATGGAGGAAATTAGACGAGGACAATATACATGTTGAATTACCAGCTAAAACTTTAATAGAAGTGGAGTTTGTTCAGGAGCTTAAAGGAGAGGTATAATTAAAACAATGAACAATTTCTTTTTATGTTTTGATGTCTTAAATGATTAAAGTCATCAACCAAAGAAATAAACTTTATTTACTCATGCTATCAGTATTTCACTTTTGGTTGCCTTACACCTATGAAAATATGTAGATGCACCACAGGTACAGAGACGGAGAATCCTATATTTCATACTGTTTACAATAAATTTCAGTCTTATATACTCTTTAGATTTCACTTATTTTTTTAAGTTAAGTAAATATCCACTTTATTTCCTTAAGAATATTTTTTGGTTACATATATATAAGACTGCCGTCAGGGCTCTGAGAAATAATAATGATGTAAGTTGTTGTCTTGAATCACTAAAACCGTACAGTTAAAAACCAAAAGAGAGGTATATTTTCCTGTTTGCAGTCATACAAAATACCAAAAACCATGAATAAACATTCTTCCACAATCTACATTGTGTATGGTAATTAGTCAAGAGAAGACCTAATTTTTTATTTATCTTACATTGATGTGATTTTATATAAGACTTTGAAATTTTATGAAGCCCTTTGATAATTTCTGAATACTACATCATTATCTTATTGTAATGAAAATTGATGTTTGAATTCATTTTCTATCTGATTTTTTTTATGAAGAATATTAAACAACTCAAAATAGATGTATATGCTTCATGTTGCTTCATAATTATTATACAAATAGTAGAAAAAATCAATTGTTATATTGTTAGGGTATGGGACAGAAAAGGTTGATGACAGTCCATGTTTTAGATGCTTTATTTTTATATGGTAATGATGTTAGAAAACTTCATTTCACAGACAGGTTAGTAATTGTCTCGCCTACAAACAGTGAAAGAGAATGCAATACATATAGGGTACACTAATCTGGCAGCCTTATTAGGGCTTTGCTATTATATTCCAGAAAACCGGGCAATTTCATATCTTGTATATATTTATACTTTATATCCTGAAATCTCTCTCTGGCATATGTCTCAATTTTCATGGTTCAGCAGCTGCTTTAAAAAACAAGTGTTTTGTCAAGAGTTATTTTATTCATTTATTATGAGTAATTGGATAACTATATTTGATATATATAGAATAATTGAAGGTAAACATGTCTGTCAGACATTGTTCACCTGACCTTGACCTCACTTCATGGATCAATGTTAAGTTTTTTGTGATGAGGTCCCTAACTCAGATACTTTAAGCAATATCTAATCTATATTTGTTGTATGGAATGATTGTAAGTTGTACATCTGGCAGGGTTCATCTTACCTTGACCTGTTTCATGCCATATGGACCCTTGTCAATTTTCTGTATGATTTATCAGGATTATTTAAGATAGTAGTCAAATACTTTAACAAGAAAAGTTAATTATGACTCTTTCTTTTTTAGTCAAGGTTGTTTTCACTTATGCTTTGGGTTCTGTACTTTTAATTATTTTAATTATACAAAAAGTATTTTCAAAGTTATCTATTCATTTTTCTTTAAAATTTCTTGAATAGAATGTGCATTTACGTACTAGTTAAATTTAGGCCATGTATTATTATTTTTATGTGATATATGTCATTTTGATAGGATGGAGAAATTGAAAAAGTTTGTAAAGTCTGTGACAAAGAAGACCAGACCAAATTTGACACCTATTATTGCTCCAAATGTCTACAGGTTTGAGCAGATAGGACAGATATTTGAAAGGTGAGATTTATATTTTTAAACCTTTTAAAGTTAATTTGTTCCACAACTATACCATTGAAATATGAAGTTAGCATTTGATGGTACCAGAATTTTCATTAGTTGTAGGCAACTTTAAAATGATTTATAGCCTTTGCACATAAATTGGTAAAATATTAAAAATCCTAGTTACTTTTTTATACCCCTTTAAAGGACCAGGTTATTCTGGTTTAAGCCCATGATCTATCAAACAGTAAGAACATTTCTGTTTTATTTTCTAATATATTTCTCTGTATTGCTCAAAGTTATTTTCAAACTGAAATTCCTTGATCCACTACAAGTAAGCATTTTTACAATTTCAGTTTTTAGCTGATTGCAAGTAACAAAGTTCTCAAAAATATTCCATTTTATTGTCACCAATATTTTAGATGTATGGCACCGGGTTTCATATGTTTATGCCATACCATGTGAACCATTTTCTGCAATATTCTACTTTATGTTTGCCAAATACGTCATGCACATATATGGAATGTAGTCATTATTTTTCATCATAGCTTGTTAGCTCACCTGGCCCGAAGGGCCAAGTGAGCTTTTCTCATCACTTGGCGTCCGGCGTCCGGCATCCGGCGTCGTCCAGCGTCGTCCGTCATCGGCGTTAACTTTTTACATTTTGAACTTCTTCTAGAGAACCACTGAATGGAATGAAACCAAACATGGCATGAATGTTCCTTATGAGGTGCTCACCAAGTGTTGTTACTTTGTAGCCGATCCATCATCCAAGATGGCCGCCAGCGGGGGACTTAGTTTAACATAGGACCCTATGGGAAATGCATACAAATGACTTCTTTTAGAGAACCACTGAATGGAATGAAACCAAACATGGCATGAATGTTCCTTATGAGGTGCTGACCAAGTGTTGTTACTTTGTAACCGATCCATCATCCAAGATGGCTGCCAGCGGGGGACTTAGTTTAACATAGGACCCTATGGGAAATACATAAAAATGTCTTCTTTTAGGGAACCACTGAATGGAATGGAACCAAACATGGCATGAATGTTCCTTATGAGATGCTGACCAAGTGTTGTTACTTTGCAGTCGGTCCATCATCCAAGATGGCCGCCAGCAGGGGACTTAGTTTAACATAGGACCCTATGGGAAATACATACAAATGTCTTCTTTTAGAGAACCACTGAATGGAATGAAACCAAACATGGCATGAATGTCCCTTATGAGGTTCTGACCAAGTGTTGTTACTTTGTAGCCGATCCATCATCCAAGATGGCCGCCTGCGGGGGACTTAGTTTAACATAGGACCCTATGGGAAATACATACAAATGTCTTCTTTTAGAGAACCACTGAATGGAATGAAACCAAACATGGCATGAATGTTCCTTATGAGGTGCTGACCAAGTGTTGTTACTTTGCAGTCGGTCCATCATCCAAGATGGCCGACAGCAGGGGACTTAGTTTAACATAGGACCCTATGGGAAATGCATACAAATGACTTATTTTAGCGACCCACTGAATGGAATGAAACCAAACATGGCATGAATGTTCCTTATGAGGTACTGACCAAGTGTTGTTACTTTGCAGTCGGTCCATCATCCAAGATGGCCGACAGCAGGGGACTTAGTTTAACAAAGGACCTATGGGAAATACATACAAATGTCATCTTTTAGAGAACCACTGAATGGAATGAAACAAAACATGGCATGAATCTTCCTTATGAGATGCTGACCAAGTGTTGTTACTTTGTAGCTGATCCATCATCCAAGATGGCCGACAGCAGGGGACTTAGTTTAACATAGGACCCTAAGGGAAATGCATACAAATGACTTCTTTTAGAGAACCACTGAATGGAATGAAACCAAACATGGCATGAATGTTCCTTATGAGGTGCTCACCAAGTGTTGTTACTTTGTAGCCGATCCATCATCCAAGATGGCCGCCAGCGGGGGACTTAGTTTAACATAGGACCCTATGGGAAATGCATACAAATGACTTCTTTTAGAGAACCACTGAATGGAATGAAACCAAACATGGCATGAATGTCCCTTATGAGGTTCTGACCAAGTGTTGTTACTTTGTAGCCGATCCATCATCCAAGATGGCCGCCTGCGGGGGACTTAGTTTAACATAGGACCCTATGGGAAATACATACAAATGTCTTCTTTTAGAGAACCACTGAATGGAATGAAACCAAACATGGCATGAATGTCCCTTATGAGGTTCTGACCAAGTGTTGTTACTTTGTAGCCGATCCATCATCCAAGATGGCCGCCTGCGGGGGACTTAGTTTAACATAGGACCCTATGGGAAATACATACAAATGTCTTCTTTTAGAGAACCACTGAATGGAATGAAACCAAACATGGCATGAATGTTCCTTATGAGGTGCTGACCAAGTGTTGTTACTTTGCAGTCGGTCCATCATCCAAGATGGCCGACAGCAGGGGACTTAGTTTAACAAAGGACCTATGGAAAATACATACAAATGTCTTCTTTTAGCGAACCACTGAATGGAATGAAACCAAACATGGCATGAATGTTCCTTATGAGGTACTGACCAAGTGTTGTTACTTTGCAGTCGGTCCATCATCCAAGATGGCCGACAGCAGGGGACTTAGTTTAACAAAGGACCTATGGGAAATACATACAAATGTCATCTTTTAGAGAACCACTGAATGGAATGAAACAAAACATGGCATGAATCTTCCTTATGAGATGCTGACCAAGTGTTGTTACTTTGTAGCTGATCCATCATCCAAGATGGCCGACAGCGGGAGACTTAGTTTAACATAGGACCCTATGGGAAATACATACAATTGTCTTCTTTTAGAGAACCACTGAATGGAATTGAACCAAACATGGCATGAATGTTCCTTATGAGTTGCTGACCAAGTGTTGTTACTGTGCAGTCGATCCATCATCCAAGATGGCCGCTAGGGGGGGGGGGGGGGGCTTAGTTTAACATAGGACCCTATGGGAAATACATACAAATGTCTTCTTTTAGAGTACCACTGAATGGAATGAAACCAAACATGGCATGAATGTTCCTTATGAAGTGCTGACCAAGTGTTGGTACTTTGTTGCCAATTTACTGTTCAAGATGGCCACCAGGATATTTTATTAAATAACGGGACCAATATTAATCCAAATTTGGCCTCAATCATTATTTGGGTATCTGTTATGATTTTTATCTATCTTTACATGATTTCTAAAACCAAAGTAGAGTCAGGTGAGCGACACAAACTCTTGAGAGCCTCTAGTTGATAAAGGGCATCAAACTTCATCTAGTTATGCCATACCATGTGACATGTTATCAGTTCCAATAATGTTCTACTCCCTGTTAATGTGGAAAATTTAATTAATACTGCAAAACAAAGTCAACAACATTGAGAAGGGTTATAAGAAGTGAACATAGCTCACAGTTCATCGTGTTGAACCAAAATATTTTGCAGCATTTGCAAGGGACGGTTGCATTGCATGTATTAACGTTGTTCATTATAACCTCATTCTTAAATGTATTAGAGACAAATAACAGTCGTAAGTTTCAGATAGGTACTTGAAGTCTTTAATCTAGCCAGTAACATTTCAGATTGACATTCTCCTAATTATAAAATGAATATGCCTGTATTCATAAAATTTTACAAAAATATAATTGAAATATTTTAGATTAGAATATAAAAGAGTGAAAGGTTCAGGTCAACCTCGTTTGTGTTATTTCCCACCAGAAAGGCCTGATGAAAGATGTTTCCTTCCTACTGGTGTTTGTATTATGAAGACTGTGAAAGGTGGGTATTTAAAACAGAAAAAAAGGGATTATACCTTAGTAAAAATATTAACAAGCAAACTTATGAGGATTTTTTTTTTTTGTAATGGAAATTGATTAACCAATCTTATCAAGAAATAGAAAGTACTGTTATACTTGGATTCCAGTTTTCATGGTTGGAAGAAAATTATTTTTTTTATATGCAGTTTCTGACAAATCAATAGAAACTGAATTTTCACTTTTTTGGGAGTTATGGAGCTATTTTAATCACTTGGTGTCAGTAATGTTTTTTATTCTCATCTACCATCTACTGTTACCCTGTGAACTAGCATGATGAAAATTGGCTCAGCTTGTTGTTCAAGTATTTATTCTAACTACCGGTAATTGATTCTTGTCCAAATATACATGTATGCCTTATTGTGTTGCTGTTCCATATTAAAACATGTGTTGCAATTAAAGGGAAAATTTAATGTTTGTGATTGGAATTTCAGAACCCTGGACAATTGCCCTGAGTAAATCTGCAAACAGGAAATATTTTTACAACCTGACATCCAGGTCATCTACATTTGAAGCACCTCCAGATAGTGTAGCTTCAGCTAGGTATGTATTAAAGTTAAACGTTATCTGTAATTAAAAAATTCCACATGAAATAATTCAGTCATCTTTCACTAAAATTCAGCAAAGACTGGAAATTAGTATTTAGGTGGCTAATAGTAACATGCTTGCCTCATGGGTTTGATCCATGCTTGGTCAAATCAGACTTAAAAATTTGCATTTGCAGCTTCTGTCCACTTAGTATTAGACATTTAGGAGTAGGAGCAAAGACTGTTACCCTGTGAACTTGTATGATAAAAAAATGGCTCAGCTTATAGTTCAAGTAATATTCATATTTATTCTAACTAATTGGTTCTCGTCCAATATGCATGTAGTACTTGACACTGGATGTTAAAACCAATCCATCCATCCTAGTATTTGAGAGAACGAAGTTATACTTCCATGAATGTGGTACTATCTTGAAGACCATATTGACAATTTGAGGAATTGAGGAATATTTTAAAGCTGATAACTAGCCACAGTTATTTAACCAGTAAATGCAAATACATGTACTCCCATATATTCTGATTTGAATTTGTTCAACAATTATAAAAAAAGAAAACCAGTATACATAGCTCTTGTAGCCATGTATTGATTGTTAACTGAAGCAAAATAGCTGTTGAAATGATAAACACAAAAAAGATAACAAATTCAGTTGGTTTCTGATGGTTTTCAATATTGATATACTTTACATAATTTATTTATTTCTTGCAGAGAATGTAAACTGAACAGTTATAGATGGGACTTTGAAATAGGAGTAAAGATTCATCCAAATCAAACATTTGAACCAGACAATAACAAGATTTCATTGACTGACATGTTGAGCCACATACAGAAAATAATGCCACATTGAAATTCTCTGACAGAAGTTTTTAGAATAATGATTTGTTTGAAAGTTAGTTTGACGATGAGAAGGGCGAAAGAAATATTTGTTAGTAATGCGAGAATACCCAATGTGTTCATATTTTATGTTTCAAAGTTCAGAATACTGTAGTTATGGTCATGGACTAAACAAGGTCATAGTGTTGGTGACCTTTACCATAAGTACCTGCCCATAGTTGCATCCATAGAATGAGGGTATTGGTATCTGGCACTTTGAATTTTTTTTTCATATATTATGAAAAGATGAAGATGCTCACAGTTTGAATCAAATTTAATGCAGGAAACCAGGCAATAAAGGAATTTTGTTCTAATTAATGAAGTGGTTGGATATTAGCTCTAGCTAATAGGACCATTATTAGCTGTATTTATCACAAAACATATTTTGCGTGCTCTGACCATCAGAAAGTGTTAAAAACATTGTTTTTCTGTTGAACACAAATGACCTGAATATTCAAGTCACTTGTTATTTTTAATCATGTATTGGTTTTGTTTTCAGAAGCATAACGCTTTTTATTCATACTCATATCATATAGATCAGATTAGATAACATAGTTTTTACTCATTATGAAACATACTTTTAAAACATCTAGCATTCTTTACATTTTTCACTGATAAAAGAAAATTACACACCCTTTATTGGAATCACTTTATCCGTCCAATTTTTATGCCCCCGCTGTAGCGGAGGGGGCATTAAGTTTAACCCTTGTCCGTCTGTACGTCCGTACGTCCCACAATTGGTTTCCGTTATCTAACATTAGTTTGCCTCAACCAAATGTTATGAAACTTATACACAATGCTTATTACCACAAAACACATATCAAGTTTGAATTTTGGTGGCATCACTTTTACTGTTCTAGAGTTATGCCCCTTTACAAATAAATAAATTCCTGAATTTTTCGTTTCCGTTCTTTAACTTTAGTTTGCCTTAACCAAATGTTATGAAACTTATACACAATGCTCAATACCACAAAACACAGATCAAGTTTGAGTTTTGGTGGGGTCACTTTTACAGTTCTAGAGTTATGCCCCTTTTCAAACATTGATACTGAAAGTATGTTATTAATTGATTAAGGGTGACTGAAATAAAAAGATATGGAAATCTAGAGTCCATTTGTATTAATATATGATAATAATAAGTTTGTTGGTGAACTTATAAGTTGCCGAGATTTCATAATTATATACGATGGCTTGGTTGTCTGACAAAGCATGAATATTTCTAGACTCTGATTAAATAAGAAAATGGACAGGGATAGCTGCAGAACACAGTAAAACCTAATTAAAGAATATTGTGCAAGTTGGCACATCCTTAATTCTGAATTAAATCTATATTTTTGGTCTCCTCAGTCCTGAGTAAATAAGAAAATGGACAGGGGTAGCTGTAGAACACAGTAAAAAACTAATTAAAGAAATATGCACAAGTTTGCACATCCTCAGCTCTGAAAGAAATCTAAAGAAATCTAAAGAAATCTAATTGGGTATGAATAACTGACATATGCTAGCAAAGACAAATGACAATGTGTAGATTATGCATTGTGCTAAGCAAAATTTGCACATAGAAGATTGTAATGCATTTAAGAAACAGCTTCTACTATTGTCATAAATCATAAAACATATAACTGTAATGACCATATAGTTTTTTGTCTCTTCTGCCAAGAAAGTCGCAGAAAGCGAGACATAGGGATTGCTTTTCCGGCAACGGCTGCGGTGACGGCATCAACAATTGTTAAGTTTTCAGCTTAAGTTAGTTTGATAAGAATTACTTGTGATAGATCATTGATATTTTATACAAAGTTGCATTACTATCAGTACATATCAGTTTGACGACTATTTCCAAATCCTGCCCCCTAGGTCATAGTCCAGAAACTTTGAATTAATTATCAATTTTCAATGTCAAGTTTTTCTGCTTAAGTTAGTTTGATAGGAAATACTTGTGATAGATCAATGATATTTAATATTAAGTTGCATTACTATCAGTACATATCAGTTTGACACCTATTTCAAGGCCCTACCCCCTAGGTCATGGTCCAGTGACTTTGAAATAATTAGCAATTTTCAATGTTAAGTTTTCTGCTTAAGTTAGTTTGATAGGAAATACTTGTGATAGATCAATGATATTTAATATAAAGTTGTATTACTATCAGTACATATCAGTTTGACAACTATTTTGAGGCCCTGCCCCTACGTCATGCTACAGTGACTTTGATTTGAATTAATTAGCAAAAAGTAAAATAACCAAAATACCGAACTCCAAGGAAAATTCAAATTGGAAAGTCCCTTATCAAATGGCAAATTCAAATGCTCAAACACATCAAACGAATGGAAAACAAATGTCATATTCCTGACTTGGTACAGGCATTTCCTTATGTTGAAAATGGTGGATTAAACCTGGTTTTATAGCTAGCTAAACCTCTCACTTGTATGACAGTGGCTTAAAGTTGCATTTCTATCAGTACATATCCTGGGTCGGGTGCCTGGTACTGGTGTGGTTCATAAGTGTTTCTTGTTTCTCGTTTTTTATATAGATTGGACCGTTGGTTTTCCTGTTTGAATGGTTTTACACTAGTCATTTTTGGGGCCCTTTATAGCTTGCTGTTTGGTGTGAGCCAAGGCTCCATGTTGAAGGCCGTACTTTGACTTATAATGGTTTACTTTTACAAATTGTGACTTGGATGGAAAGTTGTCTCCTTGGCACTCATTACACATCTTCTTATATCTAAATATCAGTTAGACGATTATTTTCAGGCCCTGCATACTAGATAACGGTCCAGCGAATGAATTCTAAATCATGTTGCTGTCCATCAGATTATCTTTTACAAAATTATATGCCGACAGGTGAGACATATCTCTGTGTCAACAGTTTATGTTACTTGCTGTTTGTTGTTATGGCTTTTGAGATAAAAATAAAGCAATTGATCTGTAAATTTTATTTCTTTTATTTATTGGAATTGCATAAGGGCTGATAGTTTTAAAATGGAAGCTCATTCCCTGTATAAAGCATAGTTTTAATTGAAACATAAAGCATTTTAATTTTTTTTAATCTATATTGATGCAATTTTGCATTATTTTACTTAGTAGTAAAATGCATGATTATTTTAAAATGGTACTCTAAAGTCAAGAGTTCAAAAGTTTGAAGTTGATCACTTCAACATAAAATTGAGAATGGGAATGGGGAATGCGTCAAAGAGACAATAACCCGACCAAAAAGCATAAAACAGCCCAAGGGCATCAATGGGTCTTCATCACAGCGAGAAAATCCTGCACCCGGAGGAGGGCTTCAGCTGGCCCCTAAACAAAAATGTGTACTAGTTCAGTGATAATGGATGTCACACTAAACGTCGAAACATATAAATGAACTAAAATTAAAAAAAACATACAAGACTAACAAAGGCCAGAGGCTCCTGACTTGGTACAGGCGCAATTAAAGAACCTTTGTTAGCACGCTCACATACCCCACGCCCCCCACATTGTCACTGGACAAACAAAATCTCACCAGATTCCTAAGTTCAAAGACTCGTAACTCTACAAAAGTCAACTGATAAAAATTTTCTTGTGGATATGCACATTAACATATGTCCTCATTAACTACAAATTTTCATGAAATTCTGTTGTGTGGTTTCAGAGGAGTTGTGATTCCAAACTGTTGCAGTAGTATATTTAGGCCAAAATTCTAAGTTCAAAGGGGCATAACTCCTAGAAAAAAATTGAATCATAATTTCCTGTCGATATGCACATCTACATAGTATGTCCTTATTATCTACATAGTCTAATGAAATTCTGTTGTGTGGTTTCAGAGGAGATGCGATGACAAGAACAGGACTGACGGACTGTAGTATAATGAGGCCAAAAAGTTCAAAGGCGCATAACTCTTAGAAAAAAAATTGAATCATAATTTCCTGTCGATATGCACATCTACATAGCATGTTCTTATTATCTACAAAGTTTAATGAAATTCTGTAGTGTGGTTTCAGAGGAGTTGCGATGACAAGAACAGGACTGACGGACGGACGGACAGACAGACGGACGTGTCAAAAAACATTATACCCGAGGCAATAAATTGCGTGGGATATAAAAATGCGGCGGGGTTAAACATGTTTCGTGAGATCTCAACCCTCCCCCTATACCTCTAGCCAATGTAGAATAAACAAACACACAGTAATATGCACAGTAAAACTCAAAACTTAGTTTAAAAGAAGTCCGAACCCATATTTCATGTTTAATTGCATATATCTTTCTGAAACCATCTTTGATTTATTAGATTTAGTTTTTGTGGAGAAATGTATTGTTGAGGTAAAAGGGTAAAAGGAGGGGGGTGGGGTTCCAAACAAATGTCCCCATTCTAAAGCACTGTTCGTCAAAAAAAGGGGGGTTCCAACCCCCTGGATCCGCCACTGCTTCTGATTGTTATTATTCAATGCAATGTGCTGTTTCTTGAAAAGTTGATTCATTTATTTTGTTATCAAATCTTAAATACCAAATAGGGTGAACACAAAGACAACTTCCTTGAGAAAAAGGAACTAAACATGTTGTCTTTTTGCAAAGAGAAATAGATTGAAGAAGTTGATTAAAGAGTTGTGTTTCACAGATTCAGTCGAAGATTCACTGAAGCCGACTAGTTAGGGTTGGAGTAATCGCTGACCATGTTTTTGCGAACACCAATCAATTGTTTTAATCAAACAAATTAAGTAGGATGTACAACTTCATTTCTGGTGTGTCAGTTCACATTGTGCATAACCTGCCACATGAAGAAATATTGGTAGAAAATTGATCGTATTGCAATGTGACCCCCAACAAAAAATCTGTTTGATCAAACATAGACTCACAGAGAAGGGATTTTGGTAATGTTATCTAAGAATGTTTTAAATGTTATGACACAGTTACACTTTTCGCCTTTCCCTTTCTAAATACAAATTAAATTTCATCCCATTATTTATATACCCAACATTAATACTTTTATAACAAGAAAGAAGGTGATCCATGTGCAGAACAAACTAGATGTGTCGGCAATGAATGCCCCCACCCGTCTTCCCTTGACGATTACTTTTTTTACAAGGAAGCTTTTGAACGTTTAATTGTAAAGAAACAGCCATCTCGCTAAAGGTGTCAGACCACCAATTACTCCCTCCAATTTAGAACGTATGTGAAAGTAGGCCTACTCGGACAAAAAATAGTGCATTTGATGTCATTGTTTACTTAAACTAACCAACAAATTAGCAGAAATGAAACTTTTGGTGAAAGAGAAATATATTAATACCATTTGAGCCAAAATTTACTTGTCTATGAGTTTGCATACAACATAAAGGATTAATGCACTCCATAGTATACTAATTTAAGATTTCCAGAAAACCAGGGGTTATTTTTAGTGGTACCTCTATTCAGGAGACCTCTGCTTTCTTATATGATTTTAAAGGTATGTTGAAAATTAGCATGTGGAAAGCTGATACATGTACAATTCAGGATATACCTGGTTTCTATGAAGTTAAACCTAAGGTTAAATATTAAGACAGCTGTGAAAATTGCAAAATTTGGTTGAACAGATAGGGACTTTTAATTGGTGGTCTGACACCTAAAGATTTGATATCTTTATCCTGATTTGGTTTAAATATAACAACAGATATGTTTGAATTACCATCAGACTTGTGCTTGTCATGATTAACACAAAAGCTGCCTCTTGTCTTATGTCCATACCGAAGCACCGGAGTGCACCCCCTTTTTATAAAGTTTGTGTTGTTCGGCCTTTGGTTTTTATATGTAGTGTTGTGGATTATTCTTTGTCTTTTTTCTTTTGACCTTGGGTTTTCTGTCTTTCTTCGACTGAATGGTTTTAATTGCCACTTCCATATCTTCTTTTTAACAGTGTTAAGAAATTGGGGTAAAAAAATCAAAACGATACACGAACAATAAGAAAAATAGTTATGAGAGTTATGAACCGAAAAATAGGGTCTGGGAAATAAAAAAGCTAAAGCTTTCGGCTCTCACAAAACTGGGATGGATAAAACGCCCATCATATTTCCTTGGGACGAAGGACGATGATAATATGTTTTACAGTACACTCAACTGATAGCGATCGACCAATTAGACAAGTACCTTTTGTTGTGATTTTACAATTAAGGCCGAATATACTCTCGACGGACTTTTTTAATATCGACTGTGCTCTTTCAACGCATTGCAGTAATTAGAAAAGTAAAATTAGAATGAAGTCCTGTCCCGGCGGCAAGATTTGGCGTAAGATAATTTTACACGCCCCTCTCCGAAAAATGGTCCCCAATTTTAGGGGCGCAAGACATTTGGGCTAAATCATAACCGTGACCATGGTATTATTTGGGCTAAACAATTTTACAAGATTACATTTGGGCTAAAGAAATTGTTTTACCTTTACAGGGTATTTGCAGATAAAAATTTCTATATCGGTACTAGTATTTGATACAAAATATATAAATATCACTTAAAAATAGTTTTGAAAATACAACCTGGAAAGAAAAACTGTAATTTGAAAAACATGTATGTTTGAAAAGAAAAGTTTGACACCATTTAATGGAAATGAGTTTACAGTTGAGATCAGGCAGTTTCAGAAGATTACAGTTTTTAACGGCTGTTAGTTTTAAATCAAAAGCAACAACCAATCTTTGAGAATATATTAGTTGTACTTTTTACACCTTAACCTACCTTTTTTTATACTTGCACGTTGTACAGAGTTTAAACAAAGTTATGTAGTGCAATTAGGACTCACTTGCTCAAAACGCCACCGTGATGAGCAGGAGCAGATACCGTCTTGCAAACTGAAGGATACTTCAACATGAACATGTTTAAAATAGAATGTCATTTATTACATATTGAATGTTAATCTACATGTATAATTAAAATATAGATAAGATACCTGTAATTTATCTGTACATGGGAGGATTAGCCCAAATGTAGACTTTAAAATCGAGCGCAGATATCGACTTGCTATTGGCCCAAAACATAACATATTTTTATCCTAAATGTTACATCAATTAGCCCAATTGTGTATTTTTCAATTTAAGATTGTTTTAAAAAAAAAAAACTAATTCAAAGATTTTGTGAGTGGAAACTTCATCCAAATTTGAAGAGGATGTGACAAAGAATGAAGGCATTATCTTGGCGACAACAATGTCAGGACGGCGGACTGGCAGACATAGCAAAACACTACATCCTCCGATGAATGATAAATTGAAAAAGAACAATTGGTTGAAATGGGTAATGATCGTGTCCATTGGCACGAAAAAAATGTTACGACTTCAATATATGTTTAGTATTCAACTTTATCGAAAGACAATTTTTTTAATATAAACAAATATTCTAATTAATATTTGATTATATTTATGTCATATATATATAGATTAGACTGTTGGTTTTCCTGTTTGAATGGTTTTACACTAGTCATTTTGGGGCCCTTTATAGCTTGCTGTTCGGTGTGAGCAGAGGCTCTGTGTTGTAGGCCGTACTTTGACCTATAATGGTTTACTTTTACAAATTGTGACTTGGCACTCATACCACATCTTCTTATATCTATATACGGAGAATAAACTTTATCAAAAAACATATAAAGAATTTTATTCACTCTAAAATGCCGCCAATATTATAAGATTTGTTTGAAAACCAACAATTGGTTCGCTGGCGGCAAAACTAGCGCTAGTCGTTAGAACATAATATAATGTAGAACATGCATTTGTGAAGCTATTACAAATCATGATGTGTCCACTTCCCTCTATATGCCCAAATTCGATAAAAGAATGTCGTTCAATTGTCATGATCTTAAACATCTCTTTAATATTATTGTTCCGTTTTCCTTTAATATTTAAACAACATCTGGAAAGAAGCGGCCATGAATGGTAAAAGGAAGTGATGTATTTAAGTAACCTCTGTTCATTACAGTCATTGTTGTAGCATTTAGTATCATGAGATAACTTTCTTGCTTTGCTCCATCTAGAACCGGAGTAAGTAGAACGCCATCATCCTCTCCCGTGGAGTTAGATCTTGGAACAAACCACATCTCCATTGGAAAATGTCCATCCAACGACCAAACATTGTCCTTATTATTGCCACAAGTGTCTTTTTTAACAAGAGCAGTTCTAGCGAAAGATTTGAAGTCTTTTTTAAATGAAACGCCGTACACGAAACAATGCTTTTTATGTCTATAATTTTCATTGATAGCGGGAATATCGAAATAGGTTAAAAAGGGAAACGACGAATTTGCCGGAAATTTTGTCTCCATGGCTGTTTTTGATTCTAAGTCGATGGTATATCGACTGAATCGTAACGTAAAGTCTACCTTATTTCTTTTGTTGACATCTCTAATTATACCAACCTCAAAAACTGTGGCGAAAAATGGATCTTTAGAAGTGCATATATCAATAATAATTTTGTTATCTTCTTCGTAAGCATTTGCATGATGTGTAGGGTTAGTAATTGGTGTGGAGATAGTAGTAACTTTTCCAGTTTTGATCTCAATAACGTAAAAATTGGCTTTTTCCAAGGGAAACCATTCGAGGCCAGAATAGGCATCTCCATTTTTCAACATCCACTCTACATTGACAAAATATGGTGCAGCAAGTAGAATGACGTAATTGGGAGTAACAGAAAACGAATGTATATAAGGCGCCTTGTCAACTCCCCATTGTGCAACTAATTCCCTTTCAAATGTAGATTTTATTCGCATGACTGATAATCGACTTTGAATTCCAGGAATAACACTTAAGCTGGTTAAAAAAGTAAAATGGTGTCCAGTGCCGTACTCAGGCACTGGATGGGCAGACGACATCAAACTAACGAAGTTTTCTGGAACAGATGGTTTCATTGCATTTACAGGTGAAATGGTACCAACCGTTAGTGGGTCTATTTGGTACATTTTCCACGTATCTGATAAAGTTGCATATTCATATTGTCCTGTGCCTGAATTTAAAAATCGATAAACGTTGATATTCATATTATCCATTCCCTTCAGGATCCCGATTACTTCTTGCTTTAAAGAAAATGGTGGAGTAGGCTTCTCGAATGTTAAGTAATTGTCAATATTGTTTATTTTTATGGAATTGTTATAGACAGATGAACGCACAAAATTCGTTGAAAAAGATGCTGAACCATTACCATAGAATTTCCAACTATGAATCTTGGAAAAACCATCAAAAGCATGAGTGAAATTTCTTGGTCCATTCCCAAACATCCCGGGACCTGTTCGTACCTGCAAATAATGTTAATAAAAATGTTAGTTCGTGATGGACATTTAAACTAAAACCTAAAGGTTTTTGATGTTTATATAATAATTTTTTACTTTGTTATGAAAAGGAGGATATTTTAAAGTAATTTCTCTATTTTAATTCAACAGTATACATATTAGTTTACCTCAGAAATAAATATAATGCGTTCATCTTCACTACTAATTGTTTTTATGGAAACCAACTTTATTTATCTTCTCTCCATATAAATTAGAAGATGTGGTATGAGTGCCAATGAGAAAACTCTCCATCCAAGTCACAATGTATAAAAAGTTAACAATTATAGGTAAAAGTACGGCCTTCAGCACGGATCCTTGGCTCACACCGAACAGTAAGCTATAAAGGGCCCCAAAATGACTCGTGTAAAACAATTCAAACAGGAAAATCAACGGTCTAATCTATATAAAAAACGAGAAACACCTATGAACCACACCAACGAACGACAACCACTGAACAACAGACTCATGACTTAGGACAGGTGCATAAAAATGCAGCGGATTTAAACGTTTTAACAGGCGCCAACCTTCAACCTAACCTGAGACAGTAGTGTAACATTACAACATAAAAAGACACACTATAAAATATCAATTGAAATGGCTTAACTCGATCAAAAAGACTTTTAAACAAAAATTAACAATAAAAAATCATGCATCAGAGACTAAAATCAATTAAAACACATCCCAGGTATTTAGTGTTTTACCGCCATGTACAGTCAAAGAAGACATTACTGGTGCAATTCCAAAATAAAAGTATAGACAGGCAGTAGGATCGTTAGGATTTAACCTTATAATAAATATATATAATATCATATATATATAAAGCAATCTCTAAATAGAAAATTAACGTGGATGTGTAGTTATACATTCCAAAATAAAGGCAACAGTAGTATACCGCTGTTCGAAACTCATAAATCGATAGAGATAAAAACATATCCGGGTTACAAACTAAAACTGAGGGAAACGCATCAAATATAAGAGGAGAAAAACGACACAACAAAAACACAACATAAAAATGTAACACACACAGAAACGAACTATAATATAACAATGGCCATTTTCCTGACTTGGTACAGGACATTTTAAGAAAAAAATGGTGGGTTGAACCTGGTTTTGTGGCATGCCAAACCTCCCGCTTTTATCAAAAACCTTTCGAAAAAGGATACAAATTTAGTTAGGTTTTAATTTGTTGATGACAAGATCAATGTTAGTGCCAATGTAAACAATATTCATAGATCTTATTACAACATTAATAAGATAACCTTTACTTATAAATTTGTTAAAAGGGTCGATGAGTTTACACGGATCAAATAGTGATTTCCGCGCTTTTAGTACAATATTACCGTAAAATTTAGGATGTGAAATACCGTTTTTAATAAGTTTGTTTACAGGTACAGCCAAATTTACTAATCAAATGGTAACGAAATCCCCGACTTAATGATTTACCAGTGATGCATTTATTACGTTTGTTAAAATCTATGACATCACTACACACACGGGCATAACGAACGAGTTGGATATATAAACACCGTATGATGGAGTCAAAGGAACATCGCCGTCTAAAAAAGGAAAATTAACAATAGGGAATGAATAATCGTCTCTTTTGTCCTAAATTTTAGTATGGAGTTTCCCTTTAGAAATTGAAATATCCAAATCTAGAAAAGGACAACTACTACTGTTTATGTTATATTTATTCAAAATAAGTTCCTTTGGGTAAATTTCGGTAGTATATTTAGAGATCTCTGGATTATTTAACGAAAAAATATCATCTAGATAACGGTAAGTATTGTTGAATGTGTCAACCAAATGTAACAATGAGAGCCTGCTTCTCTTTTCGCTAAAAGCAGACGTCACAGAAGGACTTCTCAAGAAGAATGAAAAGCCTTTTATTACAACTTCCGCTTTAAATTACACTTCACTGAATATTTCAACGTTTGATGACAATGTTGAAAGCATCTCTACCATTAAACTTGAATTAAAGGGTACCACAGATAAAGTTAGGCCTGCTTCATACCTTGACTTGTACATAGAAATTGGCAGTGAAAGGCAGTTTGAAAACTACAAAACTGCAGATAAAAGAATAAACACATTAATGATATTTTTTGTATACTGACTTCATCATCTCGTCTTAGCGGGCTCGTTTGATATTCTTGCTGATAAGGTCAGTATTAACAACAGCAATGCAATTATTCTATATAAAGATCATAGCAGTGTATGACGCAATTGATTGACATTGTTTTATCAAGTCAGGTGAACCATTAGTTTGACGCGACAACAGGAAGAACGAAACTCGTTCACGTGAAAGAAATGCCAAAAACACAGTTTTGCTATCTGCTATGTTAAATCAGATAATGAACTGTTGTCAATATTGGAGTGCAGAACAGCATGATTTCTGTAGCAGGGCAAATACTTTGAACTTGCTTTCAGTAACTGCTATATAACATTCTTTTACTTGTATCTGTGTTTTTGGTCGTCTATAACATCTACATTGTTAAGTTATGTGCTTTTTGGAAGTTACTTTTCTTGCATAGTGTTTTTAATATGTACCTTTGGTGGTCCCGATAATATCACCAGCACAGTAGCACAGAAGTTGGTAACTGTCATGAAAATACAGATATTGTTTTATTGAAATTGGCTGTTATAAAACTTAGAAAAATCATTGAAATTATACAAATGTATCTCCCCCATGCATATACCTGATTCCTTGTATGGGTTCGGCTATACTTTTGGTGCTTTTCGGTTATATCGCCTCTTCCATGTTCATATTAGGTTTTGGATTGTCGAATTTTTTACCTCGAGTATCACCGAAGAGACATTAATTGACGAAATGTACATATGGCGCAGTAAATGGTACCGTTTAGTGTTTCGAATATTCCAATAATTTGAAGATTAAAAGAGGCGACTGCTTAAAACTGGTTTAACCCAGTCATTTGTTCATTTGCCTGTCCTATGTCAAAAACATCCTCTATGTTAACCATTTTTCGTCTTGTAATGTGTTTTTGTTTTTTCTGTCCATTAAGAAATTTGGTGCTGATTTACATGTCTGCGATAATCTCTGTTAAATTTATTAACTACTTGTCTATACTCGGGTCGATTTAGAATAGATATTGGCATATTGTATATTCAGTTTTCTCCAACACTTGATCGATTTATTCTTTTCAATACAGGTTGACCCTTTCTGATAACCAACGTGTAGCTCGCAGTTCTTCATTGGTCAAAATTCAATTTTGACGTCATGAAAGTATGTGATCATGTCTGGTGACTTCACATAGAAAGAACACAGTCTTTTGCATCTTCCATTGAAAAAGACAGATACAGTTCGCCATTTTTATAAATGACACCTTTTTTCATCTATAGCAGTAAAATTGATAACGGTAATTTTATTTTTCAAATTATGAATATTCAATAAATTATGAATAATACATAAGAATTATGGGAAAATAAAGATGGGTTGGTGTGCTTGGTTTTAAGTTAAAAGCATTTGAATAGAAATTATGTCTCCACATTTATCTTATAAAATGTTTGTGACAAAAATAATGTTAAAATGTATGAGAAAGATCAAGATTTTCAAAATACTTTTCCAAAAGTGTATTTGAGATGTAGGTCTTTAAATTATTGAAAATATATGAGTTGCTGTGCAATGTTTTTTAATGGTCAAATGATCTGGAAAAAGCAAGAGGGGATACAAAATTTTGAGAAAAAGTTGAAAACATGAAAGCGAATTTCCCCAAAAAATATAAAAGCTATTAAGATGGAGACAAATAATCAATATGTATTCCAGAAATTGAAAATATCTTACCAAAGAACCACGTAGCCATTTCGGTAGTGGATTTTCAAAGAATTATCCGTCTATCTACAAACGTTTCTTTGTTGTCATAAAAGAGCTGGCTGTAATTATCTTCGGTAGAACTTGAAAAGCCAATAAAGACGGCCGCCAAAGCAAAAATAATGAAGTTCATCATTTAAGGGATGTGTTTCAACCAGTCCTGTTAGTATCACTGAACAGAATGAAGTGAATGTAATATGTGGACATCCACATGTACATGTATTTGGTATCTTACTTTTGATAGTGATATCATTTTTATATCATAAACTGACGTGACCTATAGTTGTTAACGTCTACGTCATTTGGTCTCAGGTGGACAGTTGTCTCATTGGCAATCATACCACAGCTTCTTATTTTTATAATGAATATCGATATGAATACATTGAAAATAGTGCTTTGTCATTTGATAGACTATAGATGAGAATACTAAAACACATTTTAATAGTTTTTTTTTTAATTTCAAATCAAATGGACTTGTTTTGAG